GAAAAATGCTTATTTTTGGCCCCTTATTCCTTAACGTTTCGGGCAATTACCCCCAAACTCAATTGCAGCTTTCCCTTTGTGATATGGAACCTTGTAGTACAATTTCAGAAAGATCCATACAATTACACACAAGTTATTGTCTTGAAACTAGAAAAATGCTTGTTTTTTGCCCCTTTTTTGGCCCCTAATTCCTAAAATTTTGAGGCAATTACCACCAAAATCAATCCCAGCATTCCCTTTGTGATATGGAACCTTGTGGTACAATGTCAGAGAGATCCATACACTAACAGACAAGTTATTGTCTGGATGTTACAAAAATGCTTATTTTTGGCCCCTAATTCCTTAATTGTTTATACCATAACCCCCAAAATCAATCCCAACCTTCCTTTTGTGGTATTGAACCTTATGGTAAAATTTCATAGAGATCCATTCACTTAAACTAAAGTTAGAGTGCGAAAACCAATGTGTCTTCGGACGACAACGCCGACGACGCCAACGTCATACCAATATACAACCACAAAATTTTTGCGGTCGTATAAAAAGACCAAAACTCAAAAACTTAACTTTGACCACTGAAATTGAAAATGAGGTCAAGGTAGGATGACACCTACCAGTTGGACATGTACACCTTACAATCATTCCATATACCAAATATAGTAGACCTACTGCTTATAGTATCTGATATATGGACTTGACCGCGAAAACTTAACCTTGTTCACTGATCCATGAAATGAGGTCGAGGTCAAATGAAAATTGTCTGACGGGCATGAGGACCTTGCAAGGTAAGCACATACTAAATATAGTTATCCTATTACTCATAATAAAAAAGAAATTAACATTACAAAAAATGCCGACTTCTTTTTCAAGTAGTCACTGAACCATGAAAATGAGGTCAAGGACAATGGACATATGACAGACGGAAACTTTGTAACATAAGGCATCTATATACAAAGTATGAAGCATCCAGGTCTTCTAGCTTCTAAAATATAAAGCTTTTAAGAAGTTAGCTAATGCCGCCACCGCCGGATCACTATCCCTATGTCGAGCTTTCTGCGACAAAAGTTGCAGGGTTGACAAAAACTATCATTAAAGGACAATAACTGCTATAAAGAGTTGATTGACAATCACAACCACGTATTTGCAGTATTTGTCCTGTTGAGCATTTTTTCTGTTTACAGTTTTTCATTATCTACTTTATTTTTGACAAAAATGCAAATTGGTAAAAATGGTCATTTAGGGGGAATAATTCCTATTAAGAGTTGGGACAGAATTTTAGCCATGTTGACTAATTTGTAAATCTTGTCTCTTGCTGATCGTATTTGCAATTAAAAGTTTCACTCTGTCTATTATAGTTTTCAAGATTATAGATGAAAATAGCCATCCAAGTGCAAAAACTCCTATAAAGGGTTGTCTGACATCTTTGGTGTAAATGGAAAGTAGGTAGATCTCAACATTCTGAACATCTTTGCCTCGTCAGATTTTCTCAATCTATAGTGGTTTTAAAGATAATAAACAAATATTACATTTAAATGTACCCCTATGTTCTATTTTCAGTCATGTCCAATATGTTGGTTGAAAGGCGGGATCATAAGACGCACTTTTAAACAAGATAGCCCAATGATGATTGTGGCTCAGTAGTTTCAGAGAAGATTTTGTCAAAGTTAACAGATGAAGATTACTGATGCCAAGTGATTTGAGAATAGATCACTTGGCCCTCTGGGCACTGGCTCTTGAAAAAATTTATGTGCCTGTGCCTCTGGGCCAGGTGAGCTAAAAAGGGGAGGGATGGAATACTCAGAATACTAGTTTAACTCCACCAAAATGTTATGTGACAGTCCAAAGTCAGAGAAAAGATAAACATTGTTGTATCTTTGTTCATTTAGGACTTTGATAGCAGATTTTTAATAAAATGCTTCGCTGGGCGCAGCTTGATACGACCGCAGAGGTCGAACCCTGAACAGTTGGGGCAAGTATGGACACAACATTCAAGCTTGATACAGCTCTGAATTTGGATTGTGATTAAATATTTGACACAGCATAGGTTTCTGACACAGAAAGAATGTGGTCTAAGAACTTCAATTTTTTTAATTTACCTATTATGGTCCAATGTCCAAAATCAAAATACATGGTTAGATTCAGCATATCAAAGAACCCCATATATTCAATTTTTGTTGAAATCAAACAAAGTTTAATTTTGGACCCCAACTTGGACAAACTTGAAAACTGGTCCCATAATCAAAAATCTAAACACATGTTTAGATTCAGCATATCAAAGTACTCGAAGAATTCAATTTTTGTTAAAATCAAACTAAGTTTAATTTTGGACCCTTTGGACCTTAATGTAGACAAATTTAAAAAACGGGACCCTAAATTAAAAATCTAAAAACACAGTTAGATTTGGCATATCAAAGAACCCTAATAATTCAATTTTTGATGAAATCAAACAAAGTTTAATTTTGGACCCTTTTGACCTCAATATGAACCAATTTGATAGCGGGCCCACAAATAAAAAATCTAAATACATGGTAAGATTCAGCATATCAAAGAACCCCATATATTCAATTTTTGTTGAAATCAAACAAAGTTTAATTTTGGACCCCAATTTGGACCATCTTGAAAACTGGGCCAAAAATCTAAAATCTAAATACATGTTTAGATTCAGCATATCAAAGAACCCCATATATTCAATTTTTGTTGAAATCAAACAGTTTAATTTTGGACCCCAACTTGGACCAACTTGAAAACTGGTCCCATAATCAAAAATCTAAACACATGTTTAGATTCAGCATATCAAAGAACCCCAAAAATTCGATTTTTGTTAAAATCAAACTAAGTTTAATTTTGGACCCTTTGGACCTTAATGTAGACCAATTTAAAAAACAGGACCCAAAATTAAAAATCTAAATACACAGTTAGATTTGGCATATCAAAGAACCCCAATAATTCAATTTTTGATGAAATCAAACAAAGTTTAATTTTGGACCCTTTTGACCTCAATATGAACCAATTTGATAGCGGGCCCACAAATAAAAAATCTAAATACATGGTAAGATTCAGCATATCAAAGAACCCCATATATTCAATTTTTGTTGAAATCAAACAAAGTTTAATTTTGGACCCCAATTTGGACCAACTTGAAAACTGGGCCAAAAATCTAAAATCTAAATACATGTTTAGATTCAGCATATCAAAGAACCCCATATATTCAATTTTTGTTGAAATCAAACAAAGTTTAATTTTGGACCCCAACTTGGACCAACTTGAAAACTGGGCCCATAATCAAAAATCTAAACACATGTTTAGATTCAGCATATCAAAGAACCCTAAGAATTCAATTTTTGTTAAAATCAAACTAAGTTTAATTTTGGACCCTTTGGACCTTAATGTAGACAAATTTAAAAAACGGGACCCAAAATTAAAAATCTAAATACACGGTTAGATTCGGCATATCAAAGAACCCCAATAATTCAATTTTTGATGAAATCAAACAAAGTTTAATTTTGGACCCTTTGGACCTCAATGTGGACCAATTTAAAAACGGGGCCCAAAATCCAAAAACTTAATACACGGTTAGATTCAGCATATTAAAGAACCCCAAGAATTCAAGAATAAAACCCCATTGAAATTGGTCAAGAAATAAGCAATTTATACGAAGTATCTTCTTTTGCACAATACTGTGCAATTGAATATTTCTTGCTATTGCGCAATACTGTACAATTGACAATTTCTTGCTATTGCGCAATATTGTGCTATTGGATATTTCTTGCTATTGCGCAATACTGTTAAATTGAAGATTTCTTGCTATTGCGCAATACTGTGCAATTGAAGATTTCTTGCTATTGTGCAATACTGTGCAATTGAAAATTTCTTGCTATTGCACAATACTTATTATATAATAATTTACACATCTTGTTTGGTGTGTATCTCCTACCATATCATTATTATTTGCCTTTAAATATAAATCAGAAATAACCAACTTAAAATGGAAAATTTTAAAAGAAAAAAAAAAGGAAAAAAAGAAAAAAAAAAAAAAAAAAAATCCCCCCCCCAATTTTTTGAACCCCCTTATGATTCATCACCCCCAAACTCAATCCCAGCCTTCCCTTTGTGGTATGGTACCTTGCAGTACAATTTCAGAGAGATCCATACACTTGAACACAAGTTATTGTCTGGAAACTAGAAAAATGCTTATTTTTGGCCCCTTTTTGGCCCCCAATTCCTAAACGTTTCGGGCAATTACCCCCAAACTCAATTCCAGCTTTCCCTTTGTGATATGGAACCTTGTAGTACAATTTCAGAAATATCCAAACACTTACACACAAGTTATTGTCATGAAACTAGAAAAATGCTTGTTTTTTGCCCCTTTTTTGGCCCCTAATTCCTAAAATTTTGAGGCAATTACCCCCAAAATCAATTACAGCCTTCCCTTTGTGATATGGAACCTTGTGGTACAATGTCAGAGAGATCCATACACTTACACACAAGTTATTGTCTGAAAGTTACAAAAATGCTTATTTTTGGCCCCTTTTTGGCCCCTAATTCCTTAACTGTTGGTACCATAACCCCCAAAATCAATCCCAACCTTCCTTTTGTGGTATTGAACCTTATGGTGAAATTTCATGGAGATCCATTCACTTAAACTAAAGTTAGAGTGCGAAAACCAATGTGTCTTCGGACGACGCCGGACGACGACGACGACGACGACGACGACGACAACGACGCCAACGTCATACCAATATACGACCAAAAATTTTTTAATTTTTGCGGTCGTATAAAAAGGGCTATTAAGAACTTAATATATGATATTGACTCTTGTGAATTGTTGGAGATCATATGTTAGCCTTAAAGCCCTTCAGATGTCTTATGAGTTTTGATTATGTTGCTGTAGTGCTGTCTCGTCAACATACATGTAACCCCTACATCTACATTTACCTATATTTTGGTGACAGAATATCATAGCACAATGATGTCAATCAAGACACACGTACCAAAAGTAGAAATTTCTTTTCATATAACAAAAGGCTCTTTTTATTTTACATTTTCTTTAAACACACAAAAGATTACATTTCCTTTGACAAATAAGCATCACCACCTTTCTTCTGGATAAACAGTACGTCCTCCAAATAATTTGCTTTTGTTTTTGAAAAGATTCATGTTATTGTCAACTTTCTCTGTAAACCAGCCTCCAAACTTCCATAGTACCATAATTGTTGCTAAACCAGCATAATATCTATAGAATTTAGGATTCAACATGGTAAATTTTTCCATCTGAAAAAAAAAGAAGAAAGATTATTCAACAATTAAAATGTATCATACTAAGGATCAGGGCAGGTTTAAGGTTCATATTTAATTATTGATTTTCTGATGAACGCAGCGCCAAGAGTGCATGATAAGCTATTATTGTAAATATTGAAATTGGGATATTTTGAAGGCATTTAATCATCTGTTAACCAATTCCAACATTACTTAAAGTTTCCACTGAATCAATCAAAGATAAGTTATGGCAATAGTACATTTAGTTTCAAAGGAATGAAACCTTTAGATAACAAGAAAACATTTTTAAAACCAATACTGAAGGTAATACTATTCTTCCATTCCCAACACCTGGAAAAAAAGATAGGTAAATTGATTGTTCACTGTGTAAGGTCCAGGGACAAATAATTAAAGCATGCTCATTTCATGCAGATAGGCCAGGGTTGGCAAAGTATTACCCGGGCAGGAAAACCCGGTCAGGGAAAACCTGGGTTTTTCTCTGGCTGGGCATTACTCCCAGAAACAGGTAATACTGGGCAATATGATTTTTCAAGCTTATTTTTACACAGAATAGTAAAGACTTGTTGTAGTTTCATAGTATTATAGCTAAATATACATACATGTAACCATTGAGAGTCATTTCTAGAAGATTGAAAATTCAATTTCTTCCTTTTCTCCACTAATTCAATGTTAGCAGAATACAAGTTTTGCACATTTTAGGATACCTTGTTAATTTCCAAGCTTTGTTTCAATAATCCAAACTTTGAAAAAATGCATTTCATTGCAGTGCTTGTAAATTGAAAGTTTTGATTGTTATACAAGGATATTGCTAAATAAATACCGTAAGGGGACATGTCATGAATACTTATAGAATTGAAAAGGCTGATTATCCTACGAGGAGTGGTCAACGGCAGGATTTGATAGTGCTCTATCTAAATAAACTGCTTCGCTGAGCGCAGCTAGATATGCCCGCAGAGGTCCAACCCTGAACAGTTGGGGCAAAAATGGACACAATATTCAAACTTGATTCAGGTCTGAATTTGGATTGTAATTAAATATTTGACATATTATAGGTTTCTGAATAAATGTAGTCAAAGAACTTGAAATTGGTTATATGAATTGAATTTATATTCAATTAAAGATTTCTTGCTGTTGTGCAATACTTAGTAAATCTGTTGTCAGACTATAAACAAATAAAGTTCAATTAATTCTCAATGTAATATTAGAAATTTATGAAAATAAAAAGGGAGCTTACATCAATAGATATAAACAATTCACCAAAGTTTCATGAGAATTGGTGACAGCATTTTTGAGTTTTTGTCTGAAAACTGGAAAATCCCCCCTTTTTTTATGAATAAAACCCTGTAACTCTGAAACGTAAAATCTAAAATTTATAAAAATCGAAAGGGAGCTCATGTCAATAGATATAAACAATTCACTACAATTTCTTGCAAGTTGGTGAAAGCATTCTTGAATTATTGTTAGAAAACTGGAAAATCCCCCTTTTTTTAATAAATAAAACCCCATAACCCCATGACGGACAGACGGACGGACAGAGGGACAGACAGACGGACGGACGGACAGAGGTATACCATAATACGTCCCGTAAACGGGCGTATAAAAACTATTCAGTCAAGCACTAAGAACAAAGGAAAAAGTACCATTCATGTTACAATCATCAAATAGAATTGGGATTATTTTGAAGAGTAGACAGTTTCGATAATTATATTGACTTTATAATTGTAGATCTTACAAGGTTATTGGTTGATCATTTTTTCTATTCATGGTTTCTCATTATGTAATAATGTATTATTATTCTTTTTAAATAGCAAATTGGTAAACATTGTCATCATGGACAACAACTCCTGAAAAGAGTTAATTGACAATTTCAGTCATGTTGACTTGTTTAAATTTTATACATGTTACATGTATAAGGAGTTGTCTAGTAATTTTGGAAATAGATCTTATTCCTTGCTTTTTTGCCCTTTCAGATTTCCTTGATTAAGAAATAATTTTCAAGGTATTAACCTATCATTTGCATTTAAAACTATGTTTTGTTTAGCCATGGGACTCAAAATGCCACTCATCATCATGGTGGGCAGGCATAAAATTTTAAACTAGATAATTTAAGGATCAATCAGCACAAGTTTGGTAATATTTGTCTTGATTTTGGAGAAGAAGATTTAAATAATTTACTTATTCTTAACAAGAGTGCACACGCTGAAATGTCTCGCCTTCTTTACTAACCATTGATATTATGTTGATAGACCTAAATGAAAGCTTTACTACAACTATTACATAAACTTAACATGATCCAAGAAAATGAAGTCAAGGTCATATAAACCAAACGAGAAATACATGTACACCTTACAATCATTCAATACACTAAATATAGTTGACCTATTGCTTATAGTTTCTAGTAAACAGACTTAACCTAGAAAACTAAACATTGACCAATGAATCGTGAAAATGAGGTCAAGGTCAGATGAACCATGCCAGGCAGACATGAACAGCTTACAATCCTTCCATACAACAAATATAGCTGACCTATTGCTTATAGTTTAAGAAAAACAGACCGAAACACATAAACTTAACACTGAGCAATGAACCGTGAAAATGAGGTCAAGGTCAAATAAAACCTGCGAGACTGACATGTACATCATAGAATATTTCCATACACCAAATATAGTTGACTTATTGCATATAGTATAAGAAAAAAGACCAAAACTCAAAAACTTAACTTTGACCACTGAACCATGAAAATGAGGTCAAAGTCAGATGACACCTGCCAGTTGGACATGTACACCTTACAATCATTCCATACACCAAATATAGAAGACCTATTGCATAAAGTATAAGAAAAACGGACCAAAACACAAAAACTAAACTATAACCACTGAACCATGAAAATGAGGTCAAGGTCAGATGACACCTGCCAGCTAGACATGTACACCTTACAATCATTCCATACACCAAATATAGTAGACCTATTGCATACAGTATAAGAAAAACAGACCAAAACACAAAAACTTAACTATAACCACTGAACCATGAAAATGAGGTCAAGGTCAGATGACACCTGCCAGTTGGACATGTACACCTTACAGTCCTTCCATACACCGAATATACTAGACCTATTGCTTATAGTATCTGAGATATGGACTTGACCACCAAAACTTAACCTTGTTCACTGATCCATGAAATGAGGTCGAGGTCAAGTGAAAACTGTCTGACAGGCATGAGGACCTTGCAAGGTACGCACATACCAAATATAGTTATCCTATTACTTATAATAAGAGAGAATTTAACATTACAAAAAATCTTAACTTTTTTTTCAAGTAGTCACTGAACCATGAAAATGAGGTCAAGGACATTGGACATGTGACTGACGGAAACTTCGTAACATGAGGCATCCATATACAAAGTATGAAGCATCCAGGTCTTCCACCTTCTAAAATATTAAGCTTTTAAGAAGTTAGCTAACGCCGCCGCCGCCGGATCACTATCCCTATGTCGAGCTTTCTGCGACAAAAGTAGCAGGCTCGACAAAAAAGAATGTCCCTTCATAATAATGCAGCATTTAAAGCTATATGAAATTCACGGTACTCACTTTCCCCATTTTATTGTTCAAGTGGTACTTCCAAATTTCCTGTCTGCAATGCCTCTAATTTCTTTTTAGCTTTAAATTTACGAGTTCTCTGCAAATCGTTGTAAATAAAATAGAAAACAGTACCAGGGACAGCTATAGATATGAAGTTTCTTTTCAACCACCAGCTATAATGTCTCAAACTCTGTGTGTATCTCTACAATAGAAATATAAAATTTTTTTAAATTAAAAGTTAATTGAACATTGCATCATGTAATATTGGAATAGAGAGAATACAGGATTGATGCACGAGACAAGATCTTTTTGAATACATAATAAACAAATAAACATTGACATAAAGAACTTCTAGTGGTGATCTTTATCTTAACAATTGCTGGCTGGTCTTGAAAGATGACCAAAATATCAGGCATTCGATATAATTGCAATAATTCGGAGAAGGGTATTTCATCTTGAAATTTGTAACAGTTGTTGTTTGCATCTGAAATTTTAAATCTTTAAAACAAATGGTTGGCAAATAAACTTTAAAAGTTAGCTTATGTAATGATTTTATTTTTTAAAAATACTGAACATATACCAGAGAGAGAAATGTTCTGGGCTCCATTGTGCTCAACAACAAATACCTGGAGTAACTCCAGGAGTTTGATAGTTCTCAAACCTGGGACCAATATACAATGTACAGCTTAAACTTACAAAAATATCCATAACATGTGGTTTCTTGCACAACTATGAGTAGCTGTGGAACTGTAGCTCTTAGGTCTTTTTGACATTTTTGACAAGGCAGTGTCCACGGACCCTGCATGCAAGGACGAGTAGCCAAATAAAATGTTATTGGATCGGGAATGGAACGTGAAATATACAGGGAAATTATCGGGATTTTGTGAATTCAGTGAAGAGAATGGCAACTAATACTTTATAATATGTATTTATTAGTTAAAAAATAAAATGCTCCGCAGGGCGCAGCTTGATACGATCGCAGAGGTCGAACCCTGAACAGTTGGGGCAAGTATGGACACAACATCCAAGCTTGATGCAGCTCTGAATTTGGATTGTGATTAAATATTTGACACAGCATAGGTTTCTGACACAGAATGAATGTGGTCTAAGAACTTAAAAATTTTAAATTGGACATTCACCTCTTATGGTCCAATATCCAAAATCTAAATACATGGTTAGATTCAGCATATCAAAGAACCCAAAGAATTCATTTTTGATGAAATCAAACAAAGTTTAATTTTGGACCCTTTTGACCTCAATGTGGACAAAGTTGATAATGGGGCCCAAAAATCAAAAATCTAAATACATGGTTAGATTCAGCATATCAAAGAACCCCATATATTCAATTTTTGTTGAAATCAAACAAAGTTTAATTTTGGACCCCGATTTGGACCAACTTGAAAACTGGGCCCATAATCAAAAATCTAAATACATGTTTAGATTCAGCATATCAAAGAACCCTAAGAATTCAATTTTTGTTAAAATCAAACTTAGTTTAATTTTGGGCCCTTTGGACCTTAATGTAGACCAATATGAAAACGGAATCAAAAATTAAGAATCTAAACACATGGTTAGATTCGGCATATCAAAGAACCCCAATAATTCAATTTTTGATGAAATCAAACAAAGTTTAATTTTGGACCCTTTGGACCTCAATATGGACCAATTTAAAAACGGGGCCCAAAATACAAAAACTTAATACACGGTTAGATTCAGCATATTAAAGAACCCCAAAAATTCAAGAATAAAACCCCATGGTCAAGAAATAAGCAATTTATACGAAGTATCTTCTTTTGCACAATACTGTGCAATTGAATATTTCTTGCTATTGCGCAATACTGCACAATTGACAATTTCTTGCTATTGCGCAATATTGTGCTATTGGATATTTCTTGCTATTGCGCAATACTGTGCAATTGAAGATTTCTTGCTATTGCGCAATACTGTGCAATTGAAGATTTCTTGCTATTGTGCAATACTGTGCAATTGAAAATTTCTTGCTATTGCACAATACTTATTATATAATAATTTACACATCCTGTTTGGTGTGTATCTCCTACCATATCATTATTATTTGCTTTTAAATATAAATCAGAAATAACCAACTTAAAATGGAAAATTTTAAAAGAAAAAAAAAGGAAAAAAAAAAAATCCCCCCCCCCCAAATTTTTTGAACCCCCTTATGATTCATCACCCCCAAACTCAATCCCAGCCTTCCCTTTGTGGTATGGTACCTTGCAGTACAATTTCACAGAGATCCATACACTTGAACACAAGTTATTGTCTGGAAACTAGAAAAATGCTTATTTTTGGCCCCATTTTGGCCCCTTATTCCTAAGCGTTTCGGGCAATTACCCCCAAACTCAATTCCAGCTTTCCCTTTGTGATATGGAACCTTGTAGTACAATTTCAGAAAGATCCATACACTAACACACAAGTTATTGTCATGAAACTAGAAAAATGCTTGTTTTTTGCCACTTTTTTGGCCCCTAACTCCTAATATTTTGAGGCAATTACCCCCAAAATCAATCCCAGCATTCCCTTTGTGATATGGAACCTTGTGGTACAATGTCAGAGAGATCCATACACTAACACACAAGTTATGTCTGGAAGTTACAAAAATGCTTATTTTTGGCCCCTAATTCCTTAACTGTTGGTACCATAACCCCCAAAATCAATCCCAACCTTCCTTTTGTGGTATTGAACCTTATGGTAAAATTTCATAGAGATCCATTCACTTAAACTAAAGTTAGAGTGCGAAAACCAATGTGTCTTCGGACGACGACGACGACGCCAACGTCATACCAATATACGACCGCAAAAATTGTTGCGGTCGTATAAAAAACATATTAAACATTGCAAATTAGATGCACACTAAAGGAATAAAAATGTACAGTCCCTGTAAAAGAAAACACAAGGTTGGGCGGTAAATACCACCCCCGGTATTTACCAGTGGTATTTACCAGTGGTATTTACCGGTATTTACCGCCCCGGTCAATACTCCTCAAGTGGTCAATACTGGCAAATACTGGACAATTGAAATTTTCATGGTTCTTTTGACAGATTTTACTATCAATGTTAGTTAAATCTTAGTTGATAGGGGAAATTATTTTAACTTTATTCATATGGCATGATTCAGTTTATAAAAAGGATTGATATTGGTATGTTTTATCAACTATTAGCATGAATAATGACTTATTCAGTTCTTATGGGTAATGATATAACATAGTTTAGGTATGGATATAAAATTGCTATATCAGTTATTTCAACATGTATAAAATATGTATATTTTTTTCTTGAAAAGGTTTGATTTTAACAGGTAAATAGAATTACAGGTGACTAGATTATCAGGGCATTACCTATTATATGGCAAGCAGGTGTCAAAAGTTTATTCAATATTACAACTGTCCCCTAATAAATGTTGACATAACAGGAAAAAAGTCATAAAAGTTATTTTTGAAGACTGTTTAAAACAATTATTTTATTCCTGACTATTCAACTGCATGATAAATATCTTCTAAAACCAAATACAGAAAATGGAAATTTTGAAGGATCTATACTTTGGCTGCTGTTTTTCTTTTTCTTTAATTTTATTCTAATAATCACTGTCCATGATGTGTTCATGTAAAAACAGTAAAATTTCAATTTATGTAAGAAAAGATAACATTAAAAAAGTCTAATTTTGACTTGAAAACTTTCATATTTTCATGACTAACAGTTATTGAATGTAGGGCTAAATATCACAGGACAGAAAGTCAATAAGCAATTTTGAAAGAACTGTTTCTTTGATTAAGAAAAGACTAATTTTTAAGACATTGTTTTGTTACATTTGATGAAATTACTGTTAAGAAAACAAGCTGTCATAGTCTTTTTCTTGACTGGCTTCATGGTACCAAGAAATATCCTTTGTAGGATTAATATTTAATAAATCTTCATTTAACCATGTTCATTATCAATCTCATAAACATAACAATGAATTCATTTCAAGGATTTTCCCTTACATATTCAAAAACTTGTTAACAAATATTAATTGTGACTTTTTGTCCTTTACAATGTAGTAAATAAGTGACTTTCTGTCCTGTGAATATATTTGTCCATTTACCCTGTAGTTGACCAGGTAGGGACTGTATTTAATAGTAATATCTTATCAAAATTTCAATTGACCAGTATTTGCCAGTATTTCCCGGTATTTCCCGGTATTTACCGCCGGCCTGGTCAATACTAGTATTAACCGCTTTTTTGCCAACCTTGAGAAAACATGATAAAAATTTGAAAGTAAATATAAATGCTCATTAAAAGAATAAAATTATACTGAATTTGAAAAAAGCTATGTGAAAACTCGAGTGTGAAAATAATTTTCTAGTAAAATGCGATGTCCAAGGTAACCAGTCGACAAATTATATAATCCGGAGTCAAAAGTCAGTAATATGAAAATAGTCTATCTTGGACATCATGGTACCAAGTCAGGTAAGAGCAAGCTAAAGAAGTAAAACCAAGCTATCAATCAGTACAATTTTGGGGGAAAATTACCCAGTTAATATTTTTTTTTCACTACAAAATCATCGGAAAACAGTAAACTTTCCCCTCAAATTACACTGATTATATGTTTGATTTTACTTATTTTGGTTGCTCTTACTTGACTGAGTACCATGATGTCCAAGGTAACCAGTCGACAAATTATATAATCCGGAGTCAAAAGTCGGTAATATGAAGATAGTCTAAACAGAAACTAAAATTTTTGAAATATCTAAAACAAATAAAAATAAAGCTTAAATGTATACACAAAATAAAGAAGCAAGCTGGGACTATTACACTAATATATATCATTAATTTAATTCATGTCCCAGAAGCAAGTAATAAGATCAAATTCCATATGTATAATAAAATGCTTCGCTGGGCGCAGCTTGATACAACCGCAGAGGTCAAACCCTGAACAGTTGGGGGAAGTATGGACACAACATTCAAGCTTGATACAGCTCTGAATTTGGATTGTGATTAAATATTTGACACAGCATAGGTTTCTGACACAGAAAGAATGTGGTCTAAGAACTTGATTTTTTTTAATTTACCTAATATGGTCCAATGTCCAAAATCAAAATACATGGTTAGATTCAGCATATCAAAGAACCCCAAGAATTCAATTTTTGTTAAAATCAAACTAAGTTTAATTTTGGACCCTTTGGACCTTAATGTAGACCAATTTAAAAAACGGGACCCAAAATTAAAAATCTACAAACACGGTTAGATTTGGCATATCAAAGAACCCCAATAATTCAATTTTTGATGAAATCAAACAAAGTTTAATTTTGGACCCTTTTGAACTCAATATGAACCAATTTGATAGCGGGCCCACAAATAAAAAATCTAAATACATGGTTAGATTCAGCATATCAAAGAACCCCATATATTCAATTTTTGTTGAAATATAACAAAGTTTAATTTTGGACCCCAATTTGGACCAACTTGAAAACTGGGCCAAAAATCAAAAATCTAAATACATGTTTAGATTCAGCATATCAAAGAACCCCATATATTCAATTTTTGTTGAAATCAAACAAAGTTTAATTTTGGACCCTTTGGACCTTAATGTAGACCAATTTGAAAACTGGACCCAAAATTAAAAATCTAAATACAGGGTTAGATTCCGCATAACAAATAAATAAATGTGGTCAAAGATTTTACAAATCTAATGATTTGAAGAATAATTCTTTTTAATTTCTGAAATCTGAAATGAGAAAAAATTGACCCCCCATAATTTCTTTTTACCCCTCCCCCCTTTTTTTCCCCAAAAAATTCTTTCCCTCAAGATATGTTCATAATCTCAATTCAAATTTCCAATGGAGTTTGCAACCATAATTACCCATTTAAATTTACCATAGTGCTAACTTAATTTTTTTATAATAGAATTTAAAATATAGTGTCAAATCTTTCTTATGGATTTTTTTGTAAAAAAAAAAATGCAACATTTGCAGATATTTTTACTGGTCTTCCTTTATAAATATGCATTTCTTTATAAACATAATTTAAAAGCAGTGTAAGGGAAGTAACCAAAACGTTGTATTTGGATTACCTCCCTTACACTGTTTTAAATTATCTTAATTGTTCATTAACCATTACTTTATACATAATTTAAAAGCAGTGTAAGGGAGATAATTTCAATGATGTATTTGATTTATCTCCCTTACACTGCTTTAAATTATGTTTTGTACTAAAATATTTGTCCATTAACCAGGACAACCTTGTTTTTTCCCCTTTTTTGCCCCTAATTCCTAAACGGTTTGAGCCATAACCCCCCCAAAGCTAATCCTAACCATCCCTTTGTGGTATGGAAACTTGTAGTATAATTTCAGAGAGATCCATACACAGTTCCACAGTTATTGTCTGGAAACTAGAAAATGCTTATTTTTGGCCCCTTATTCCTTAACTGTTGGTACCATAACCCCCAAAATCAATCCCCACCTTCCTTTTGTGGTATTGAACCTTATGGTAAAATTTCAAAGAGATCCATTCACTTAAACTAAAGTTAGAGTGCGAAAACCAATGTGTCTTCGGACGACAACGACGACGCCTACATCATACCAATATACGACCGCAAAAATTTTTTGCGGTCGTATTAAAATAGATGCAGATGATAATTATTCATGTTAAACTAATTTTAAAAGATTCATGTAACTAATTAAGATTTGGAACAATTTTTACATATAATCCAACAGGATTGTTTTGACACATATTTCAACCCTGCATATTTCAAATGTTGCCAGTCTAAATAGCATTCACATGCCAAAGAGTCCTGACCATGTAGGTTTTTTTTTTATATTTGATACATATCCATTCACATGATTCCTTTCTTTCATTGATCAGAATTTTAAGTTGTACCCACACTTCAGAGGTAAAATATCTTAATTTGTCTGATTTTTTCTGTTTCCAGGTCTTTTTTTATCTACAGCTGCAATTATTTCAGAGTTTCTTTTATACAATCATATGTAGATATATTGGTTGGTAATTTTGAACAAATTGTTCTAATTCATTATTACTTTTAAATGTCTTCCCCACATATAGATGTTCCATTTTAAGACTATTTATTAACTGTGAAAAAACTCTTCACTTAATATATAAATATTTATAAAACTTCTGAGTTGTAATCAATTTATTCACTATTTGTGATAATTTCTGCGTATATTTCACGTTTCATCATTAAACCTGAAGCAAGTACACATAGCCTTTATAAATTATATGCCAATTTCGCTACTCGTCCTCGCATGTGGGATCGCACAGACAGTCACACTGCCTTTTGACAATTTGGTCCACCCTCAAATTGTCAAAAAATATCAAAAGGAACTAAGAGCTACACTTCCACAGCTAAAGTATATGTAGAATTCTGTGCTAGATTTGACCATGCTACATCTATGGCTATGCACTGCCATAGAACACAAATTTTGCAAAGAATTAACACTATTTTAGTACATTTCCCAGTCTTTATGGTGATGTCACATCTCACAGTATATCTCTAAGTTTTAGAAATTTCGACTGCAAATTATCCACAAAGAAGTAGAAGTAAAGTCACATATTATATTATTATGTTGTATATTCAAATTGGTTTTGCATGTTGACTTGTCCGATTTACATAACATGGCTTTTCTGACTCTTTAAATAGCAGTAGAAGTGCATACTAAACACTGAAATTATTGACCTTGTGCAAAGAAAAAGATTTCAAATAAAACTTCTCTCAAAATGTCAGTTCACATGAGTTTTTTTAAAAGACTAACTTACCGCAACATCCTTGTGGATGTCATTGCCGAACATTCTCTCCGTTTATTTCCGATCAGATGCGGAAAAGCCCGAAACCGAATTTTATATTGTTAGTTCGTCCCAATTTATTTCGTCGTACACGTAGCAAGTAAGTAAGTATTAAAATACATTTAATTTAGAGTCGGACAAGTTTTCTTAAAACAAAATAAAGGTTAAAAACAATTGTTATATAAGGACAATCGCTCCTATACAGAGCCTACTAATGATTTCGGCAAAAATTTGACTTATTTGTAGATCTTGTCTAGCTGGTATTTTTTTTTATATCTAATTTTGTTTTCAAGGTAAAAAGATAAAAGGCAAAAACACTAAAAATTGGTAAAACTCGTCATTAAAGAGCAATTACTCCAATAAGGAGTTGGATGACGATTTCAGCCATGTTTGACTTATACATAAATCTTGTTTTGCTGATCCTTTTGGCTTTTGAAATTTCTATCTATCTATTACAGTTTTTAAGATATTTGGCAAAAACCGCAGACAAAAATTAATAAAATTGTCAAATAAGGAGTCGTCTAACGATTTCGGCAATGTTGTTTTACATGTATAGATCTTGTCTTACTGATGACGTTTGCTTTTTAAAATGTCTATCTATGTATATATCATATAGTTAAAACACTAAACATTGGTACAAATTGTCATTAAAGAGCAATAACTCCAACAACGAGTCAACTGCAGTGACGATTTTGGCCATGTTTAACTTATTTATATATCTTGTTTTGCTGATCATCTTGGATTTTAAAGTTTGTATCTATCGATTAAAGATTTTAAGATAATAGGCAAACATAAAAAGGTGGAAAAAATTGTCACTTAAGGCCAATAACTCCCATAAATAGTTGTCTGATAGTTAGTTTTAATTAAACGTAAATAGACAGTATAGGAGAATCTCAACATTTTGAACCTTTCTGCCGCTGTCAGATATTATAGATAATAATAGACAAAAACTCGCATTTTATCTCTATATTTTAATTTTCAAGACAAAAAAGATGACCTCTTGTCATTTCACCTTGAGAGAAACCAATTTGGTTTTGGAATATGTATAATGCCGTGTTTCTATAAATATTTTTCAATATGAAAATAAGATGTGGTATGATTGCCAATGAGACAACTCTCCACCATAGACCAAATGCCATGATAAGTTAATTAACAACAATTGATAGGTCACCGTACGGCCTTCAACAATGAGCAAAACCCATACCGCATAGTCAGCTATAAAAGGCCATACTGAAATGACAAATGTAAACAATATCAAACGAGAAAACTAACGGCCTGATTTATGTACTTTGCACATACAGAATGTGGCGGGGTTTAACTAGTTTGGTTGCCTCAAACCCTCCCCATAACCTGGAACAATGGTGTACATGTAACACTGGCAGTACAACATAAAAACAAACTATGAAAATCAGTTGAAAAGGGCTAAAGTCATTAGATCGATACAAAGCAGAAAACATCTAACGAAAACACAGACCGGACGTGGCATGGTATACATCAAGTCTGTTATTTAATATTCTAGTAAACAACTTACCAATATTACTACTTATAGCAATGCCCCTGTAATTACTAGGTTCTTCGGTGTCACCTGACTCTTATAAAAACCTTATACGCCAGATCTTAGGGAAAAATCCTAAAGTAAGGACATTATTTGATATCTTCAAAAGAGCCAGTGGAGAGAAATGTATAAAACTACATTTTAACATATCATTTGATATTTGGCCAATTCCGCAGGCTTTTTTTTTTATTCTCCGTAGATTTCAGTGCATCAAGAAGCTTTTTTCCAGAAATTTTTATATAGCACATTAAATTAGTTACAATTATCTGCGTCAGCTAGTAATTTATGTAGACCCTGGTTATTAATGTTTTAAACGGTATATAGTAGTTACATGAAATAGTTAAACCATTCTTGTGCTGATATATTGTCTTGTGACTGTCCTCCAGAATCTCAAACATCACTTAAAAATTGATTCAGAAGTTTCAGGCCATTAAGCTTAATTTTGGATTATCATCTTTTAAAGAGTCAAGCTGATTTACTAGATTTTGCCGGGGTCAGTAGAAATACCACAGAATACCGCAGAATTCTATTTTTTCAAATTGTATCGACACAGTTTCTAATACGAAAATAACATTTTATAAATTTTGTATCCGAAGCCGTTTTTGAAGTGGCGATCTTGTAATGGGACGAGTTTGAATAATAAAAATACGGAAATGGCCGAATGTTGTATTCCTTACAACCTTAAAAATCATAAAAAAGAAAATAATATTTATTGTTGACTTGGATCACTTTATCCTAAATGTTGACAGAAATAAAAAAAGACATTTTAATTAAAAATAACATAACGCCAAGAATGGCTGCATTTGGTAAAACTTGCTAAGTCTGCCCTGTCGCTTAAGGCAATATTGATTTTGTTTACAAATGGAGATTCGTTCGAACTTTTGAATCATAGATTTTCAGAAAATTTACACAGAAACGCGGTAAACTAGTTACAGTATATGAATTATCGGTAATTAACTCTTTTCATAAAAAGGAATGAATTTTACATAGGAAACTCAAGTTGAAAAGGTAATTAAAGCGGTTGTCGAATAATTCTTTTGAACAAGCTCGTGCATGTTTTCCTTGCAAATGAACGTTGATATATGCTATTGATCTGAATTATATTATTATCAGGTTTGAACAGTTATAATTATTTAAATGAAAATGTTGATTTCTGGTATGTAAAAATAGGAATATTGGCCATGGTTTCTCTTTTGTTATATGATACTGAATTTACAATTTTTCTGTTTATTAAATTAAATAAATCAGTTTATCTTGATTGTATACCATGTCACATCCCATAGGTACCTGGGGACAGGACAATTTTTTTATCCTCCCCCTTTATCCAAAATCCGTTATTTTTTTTCTCTATTATTTTTCGCGTTTTTTTGTATCATGCGAACTTAAATATACTACAAATAACTTGTATTTGCTATTTACCATCAATAGGCCACTTCATGGTTAGTTCGGCCATATTGTATAGGACAGATTTTTTGGATAGCGGTGGAAATAGTATGATAGTACGGGAAATCCTATGCATGTTTCCAAGTAACTGTCCTCTTTTAATCATGTTTTTCCGTATTTTTCAAACCAGTTTTACCTCCACTATGAAAATCTGCCCCCTATTCAACATGGCTTATTTATTGCAGCACTAACTGTGAAGGGGCCTATTCTAAGTTTTCTATCCACAGCGGTCACTGATATATTGTATAGACAGTCTATACAGCTATATAATCATGATAATATATCAGTGACCACTGTGGATATCAAACTTCGAAATGATAGTAAATAGCAAATACAAGTTATTTGTAGTATATTTATGTTTGTATGATACAGAAAAACATGAAAATAATTGAAAATAATAGAAAACAAAAAGATAACGGATTTTGGAAAAAAGGGGGATGGAAGAAATTGTCCTGTCCCAAGGTACCTATGTCGCATCCTTGGACATTACTACATTGCGTGTGTGTCAAGGTTAATAACTTACATACAACTTGGCACCCCCTTACAATTTATCTGAACAACTTAGCAGGTTCTTTCATGAATTGCATCTTGATGATGTCAGATATCCAGGTTAAAGGTTCAAATCTTGAATTTTATTTGGTAGGTTACTGAATTTCAAAGTGTCAATCTTGGCTGGAATTCTGAGAAAGTGTTGACTATGCATGTTCTATGCGGTCATTGAAGAATTTCTGTTGGTAGTTAAGCTAGATGGTGTATGCCTTTAGAAAATAAAATCAGTCTGTTTTGTCTTCGCCTATCTTTCAGCGGTTCTAGTATGATTTGGTTTAGGATTAAAGTCACACTACCTGGTTTGTTAATGTAGTTTGATGTTATGAATCTCGCTGAATTACAAACTTGAAAATTGTGGGATCAGATCATTATGTCATGATGAAATGAAGTGATAGTTTTCTTGTCGTCAAATGCACGTGGATCAAAATAATCATAAAGACACTAATTTTAAGCAAGAGGAGAGCGTAAAGCAATGATTAATTACAATTGTTTTTTTTTTTTTATAAATTAACTGTAGTTTTGATATAAGTAGATGGATTAGCATTGAATAATGTTTACCATTACACAATAGTTGCATTCAAGCAAGAATATTATCCCCTGCGAGTTTTTGAGCATTTTGTTCTTATTTAAGTTACATGATAAAAATCATTTTTGTCTCACCTTGGTGGAGTCAAAAAGCAAGACATTAAGGTATGCTGTTTCCGGCGTCGGCAACGGCAGCGTCAACAATGTATTAGTTTGTGATTAGGTCTAGTTCATGGTGAACCACTAGTGGTAGGTCAGTGATATTTGGTCTGCAGTTGTATTAGCATTGGCACATCTCATTACCATGGAGGTTGTTTGGCCCCGCCCCCTCAGTCAAGGTCTATTGACTTTGAAACTTTGCTTAGTTTACATGTATTAGTTTGTGATTAGGTCAGTTTATGGGGAACTGTTATTGGTAGGTCAATGATAATTGGTATGCAGTTGTATAAGCATTAGCACATCTCATTTCCATGGAGAATATTTGATCCTTACCCCTCAGTCATGGTCTATTGACTTTGAAACTTTTACTTAGTTGACATGTATTAGTTTGTGATTAGGTCAGTTTAAGATGAACCACTAATGTTAAGTCAATGATATTCGGTATGCAAATGTATTGGCATTTGCAATTTTCATTTCCATGGATTATATAGCCCCACCCCCTCATCATGGTTCATTGACTTTGAAACTTTTACATAGTTTACAACAAATGTTTGTGTTTAGGTTTGTTGAAAGGGAACGACTTCTGATAAGTCAATGGTATTTGGTATGCAGTTGTATTAGCATTGGCACATCTCATTTCCATGGAGATTGTTTAGCCCTGTACCTTCAGTCATGGTTCATTGACTTTGAATATTTGCATAACTTACATGTAAAGTATTGCTATTTTAGTTTCAACATTTGCATTATCAAAATAACAAATAGGCAAGACATATCTCTGTGTTAACAGTTTATTAATTATTTTTCAGTATTTATTACAAAGATGGATGAGGAAGAGGATGTAAATTTTACTGATGATGAAATAAGGGATGAACTATCCAAGTTAGGTTATGGAAATGTCCCACATCAAAGATTTGAAGAATTCAAAACAGGTTTGTATTAAATACCTTGAACGTTAACAAATATGTACTGTATATTAATACTTATCTTTATTATAAATTACATTTTAAGATCGGTTGATCACATTATTTTATCTTGAACATAATCCAGAATAGATATTTAAGAACGATCCTAATTTTTTACAGACTTGAGATCCCTGATAAAACATGAACGGAGTAAATTGTCTTCTCAGAACACAAGTATGTCTTCATATATAGCTGATACAACAGGGTCTGTTGCAGGTATGTACATTGTAGCTTTGACTTGCATTGATCATTTTCTTAGTTGTTCTATTAAAAAAACTCTAAGCATCAAATTCAAGAGTAAAATATGTTGTTGACCTTAAGTAACTTTGTTTTTTTATGCCCCGCCGTAGCGGAGGGGGCATTAAGTTTTACCCTTGTCCGTCTGTACGTACGTACGTCCCAAAATTGGTTTCCGTTCTCTAACTTTAGTTTGCCTCAACCAAATGTTATGAAACTTATACACAATGCTTATTACCACAAAACACAGATCAAGTTTGAATTTTGGTGGCGTCACTTTTACCTTTCTAGAGTTATGCCCCTTTACAAATGGAAAATTGCTGAATTTATCGTTTCCGTTCTCTAACTTTTGTTTGCCTCGACCAAATGTTATGAAACTTATATACAATGATATTACCACAAAACACAGATCAAGTTTGAATTTTGGTGGCGTCACTTTAACCGTTCTAGAGTTATGTCCCTTTAGAAATGGAAATATTGCAAAATTATTATTTTCTTCTAAATATCAAGTAATTTTTAAAATTGGAGTTATCTTCCTTTGTCCATGATTATAGTTGAATCAACTACAATCCATGCTTTATACAATGCAATGTTTAATTTTGACTTCCACTGATAAAACACAGATCAAGTTGAATTTGGGTAGTGTCACTTTAACCATTATTGAGTTATGCCCCTTTATAAATGGAAAGATTGCAAAATTTTTAGTTTCCATTCTGTAACTTAAGTTTGCCCCAACCAAACATTATGAAACCTATACACAATATTCATTACCACAAAACTAAGATCAAGTACAAATTTTTTGTTTCCGTTTTCTAACTTTAGTTTGCCTCAACCAAATGTTATGAAACTTATACACAATGCTTATTACTACATAATACAGATTAAGTACGAAATTTGGTGGCAACACTTTTACCATTCTTGAGTTATGTCACTTTATAAACATAAAAATTGCTGAATTTTTCGTTTCCATTCTCTAACTTGAGTTTGTCTCAACCAAATGTTATAAAACTTATACACAACCGTTCTAGAGTTATGCATGTTTACAAATAGAAAAATTGCTGAATTTTTAGTTTCTGTTCTCTACTTAAGTTGGCCTCAACCAAATGTTATGAGACTTACACACAATGCTTATTACCAAAAAACTCAGATCAAGTTCAAATTTGGGTAGCGTCACTTTTACCATTCTTCAGTTATGTCCCTTTATAACTATATGATATGCAAGCGGGGGCATCATCTGTGTCCACATGTGGACACTATCCACATTTTTTATGATGTTGCATTGCTGATTCATTGAAATAAATATCACAACCTGCTCCACATCTCCATTTATTCATACTCTTGCATTTGTCATTATTGAATACATTATTTTTTGCACAAATAGTAATATTTATAATGTTACATGTACAAATGATGTATTAAATCCCTGGTAGTTTGAAAACAATGTTTATAATTCTTTGTGATAATGAAGCCATGGAATTTCAATTGGTTATGATATAAATATTAGAGAGTTAATAAGGATGATTTAAAAAATATAATAGATAAGAATAAAAAAAAAAAATGATATTTTAATGATAGTGTCTCAAAAAGGGAGGCAGTTCTAATTTATATGTATAAAGTAACTTATGTTGCATTATGGTACATTAGTTCTAAACTGTTAAGTTAATTCATTTAGAAAAAATACAAGAAACAAGTTGATTTTGTTACTTCTTTATGTGTAATTTGAAGCACTTGTTTTTCTTTTGTTTTTATGCAAACCAAACAGAATTTTTGATATTCTGAAAATTGTTAAAATTTAAAGTGACCCTGGTGATGAATATTTTTTTTGATGAACAGGTATTCCATCCAGAAGAAGGCATCCATTAGAAGAAACTCAAGTCTCACATGATGGACCTGGTTACTTGGAGTACAGGGTGAGAACAAAATGAATTGAAGTTTTTAAGCAGCTTTTGAATATGATTTGGAGTAGGGAACAAAGTTGACCTTAGAGGGATTTGGCTATAAATTTTTAGATCCATTTTGGTCATAAAGCTCTTCATGTGTTACTATTCTTAGCATTCAAATATTTGACTTTGAGCTTTCCTGATGAAGGCAAATAAAGAAAAGTGCTTTGTGTATTTAAAAGGAAGAAAAATGAGTCTCTTTTAACCCTCTTTCTTTTGTTTGAGAAAAGCACAAATGCTGGTACATGAAAATAAAATATGTATTTTGGTTACCGTATCAAAATTTTTTAAAGACAGAAATATTATGTACATTTTATTAATTATTAGAAGTGTAGAATGCAAATAGAAATAAAATAAATTAAGGAATCACTCACTGATTAATTTTGATTACAGGGGGCATCAAATATAGGGAAAGAAAACAGATATGCTGACAGTCATAGAAAGCCATATGTAACAGATCCGGCCAGAGGAAACTTTTGTTTGTATGATAGTACTACTGATACATCACAGTTACATATCAGAGATGATGTCTCAGAAACTGATTCAGAAAGAAGACTAGTCAAAAGAAAAGTTCTCAGGTGATACATTTTATATATTTGAATACTTTCTTATAAAAGACTAGATTTAATGGTTAAAGACCTTTTTAAATGGACATGTGGATAGTTGTCTCATTAGCAATCATACCACATCTCCTTATCTTTATATATGTGTTAATTCATGGTACAAATAAGAAAATTTATGATTTGAAACAATGATATTTATCTTGAATAAATAAATAGACTTACAGAAAAGAAAGGTATGCATTATCATGTGGGAGTTGTTAATTTTGATAATGTTTTGGTATAGTGAATTTAAAAAACAGATTAGTATGATGCAAATAATACAGAGAAAAGAGACAGAAAGAGATCACTGAACATTTGTTATTTTATACTTTGAAACCTGTAACTGTTTTACGAAATTTGATTAATAATGTTCATGTATCTGGTATATAGTATAAAAGTTCTGGAATTAATACACTCCTGCCTATGAATCTACTGCCATATGTTGAAAAATAGAAAAATAAAATTATGAGCATCAAATAGAATGACATTGGCATCGACTTGGCCCTTATCAATAACAATAAAAATTAATATGTTGTTTTTTTTATATTTGATAACAATGGGATAGTCCAGTCACTAACACACTAAGCACATTGTTATTGTTTTACCATTATCCATACTATTCCATTTACTGTATATATATGTATATGCAGGAAGAAAAAAGATGGTTCAAAGGTTATTGACGAATCTGTAACAGAAAGTGAAGCAGGTATGTAACAGGAACAATAAAAAAATAACTCCAATCAATCAATCAATAAATAACTCCAATCAATCAATCAATCAATAAAAAAGTAACTCTTCTTTACTTCTCATCAAGTTGATGAACCAGGGTTATGTCAAAGAACGTCTCGTCCTTTTTTCTAAAAAGTTCATTGGAAGATACCAAGACCTTGTTGATAAATATTCCGTATCAACTGCACAGATAATACATGATGGTCTTGAAGTATAGATTATAGGTACTGACGTTGTTTATCATCTTAATTACGTGTAATAGTGTTCTTTTATTTGTCTGTAAATTATTAACCTTTACTGTTTAGTCCATTTTTGTTAATATCCTTTTGGCGTGGATTGGTGCTTATACATCTCACCATTGTGTTAATGTGCTATGGTCATTTTTTGTATTCTTGTCTTTCATTTTTGCTTATGTGCTTTGTCTATATGCCATTTTTGTTTTTCTTTTTTTGATGTATTTGTTTGTTTTTATAGTGATTAATATTATAACACAATGTTGACTGCTGTTCCCCTATTTTTGACATTTTTACCTACTATGTCTGTTTGTTTTGTTTACATATTGTTGTCAATATAATGGAATTCTATGCAACTGTCATATATACAAGTGAGAGGTTTAGCTAGCTATAAAACCAGGTTTAATCCACCATTTTCTTCATAAGGAAATGCCTGTACCTAGTCAGGAATATGGCAGTTGTTTTCCATTCATTGGATGTGTTTGAGCTTTTGATTTTGCCATTTGATAAGGGACTTTCCGTTTTGAATTTTCCTTGGAGTTTTGTATTTTTGTTAATTTACTTTTTGTCAAGTCAAGTGTATATTTGAAGTATACCTTCAAGGAAATAATGTCATAATACTTTCCACATTTACCTTTCAAGGAAATAATGTCATAATACTTTCCACATTTACCTTTCAAGGAAATAATGTCATAATACTTTCCACATTTACCTTTCAAGGAAATAATGTCATAATACTTTCCACATTTACCTTACACTGATTTATAAAAAAATAATTCTTGCTGAATATTGTTAAAAAAGATCTGGAAAAAATACTATACATATAAATGCTTATGTTCTTTCCATGAATCAATATCTAGAGTTTACCTGATAGTGTTGATGATATACTTTTCTTCAATCTACTAGTTTTTAACACATTGGTCAACTACTGTAATGTTTTTGGTTTGACAAAGCTGAGGAACAAACGTGTGACCTCTAAAAATTAAAACATGTAATGACATCATTGCACAAACAAGGAAGTTAATTGGTCTAAGTAATACTTCTTATATCCTGGAAGATTATTTCTGTGACTTGTTTTAGCTTGTGGACCCTTTCTTAGTTTTGACCAAATGAAAAAAAATTGAATATGTTATATCTTCCAAAACTTCTAATATTTACACAAGCAAATCATACCCACATCTCCTTATTTTTATGAGAACAAAGCACTAAAATTATTTAATAAATAATTTTTTCAACTGGTGTGTATGTTGGGCTTCAAAAGCCAGACAACTACCATTAAGATATACATAGTAAAAAAAAATTAGATGTCTTAAAAATACACATGTTTATTGAATATATTATCATACTGTTATAGGTAGTTTATCAGATATCCATGACAGATTGAAGGAACTTGGAATCAAAGATGATGGTAGAAGATGTCAATCAGCAAGAAGTGAGGTACATAGTTCATTTGGTTTGTTTACAGCTAAATAAGATTATGATCTTTGTTATATTGTTTGTTTACAGCTGAATAAGATCATGATCTTTGTCTTGATGGATAACTGTGTAATTATTCCTTAAATTTCAGTTAATTGTTGAATTAGTACAAAATGGAATTTAAGTTTACATTGGTCAATCATTAAAGCTGATTTTGGGAATTTAAGTCAGGTATGTCCAAGATATGATATAGTCAAAATATCAATGATAGTGAAAACATCCAAAGGATATTGATAGTCATCTAAGCTCATTATAGAGGGATAAAGTATAAAATGTTTTAAAATTTGCCTCATGATTTGGTTCTTTAAATTATTTTACTCATTATTCATCTGATCTGGTTATCGATTTTGACAATAGTTTCTGCTGGTTGATTTGTTTTAGTTTGTAAAAATGATTACAGTTCACCCATCATGTTACCATATAACTATTATTGTATTTGGTCTAAACTTGATAAACTTTGTCTGTCATTGTCTAAAGTCATCATCAATTTCAATTTGATATCAAGTCCACATTTATATTGATGATATTTACAACTGGTTTTGTCACAGGTGTCTACAGTGGTCAGTCATCAATATCAATTCAATATCATGGATATGTCATAGGTGTATAAATTTGTCATTGATATCATGTGGATATTGATGATATTCAAGATGTTGAAGATGTCAACATCTTTACTAGTTAGTCTGTTGTGGACATGTATGATTTCAGCATGTTCATCCTTAAGTAATAGTAAACTTTGCATTCTCTTATGGCTATGGCCTGTAATCTATTTCTCGTGTGAAGACATATTTTTCATATCACATACGAAAAATGTGTTAATTTGATTGGCTTATCCGACATCATGAAAGGATATTGCAACATTTTATTGGTTATTCATTAGTTTATTGATGACTTTCTCAAGTTCAAATGATGTACATTTCCTCCATGGCAACGGAGATATGTGATTTTTTCAAGAATATACAAAACACTTTCACTTTTACCTGAAAACCTTCTTTGTGTCAATTTTTATCACATTCTGAGGCTTACATAAAGTTTTAAAATGTCTGATATTAAAGTTTGATGCCGGAACAGGATATATGATATCGTTCTAGTATGTGCAAAAGACTAGATTACAGAGTCACAGACTTTTCTATTTAACACAAAGATAATGTTGACCATAAGAGAAATAGGTTAAATAACTTGAAAGAATTGGATATCTCTTGATAATAACTCTCTTAATATATATAAAAAGTAATAATATACTTGCCAAAGGCTCATTTATTATTATTTTGAAATTAAATAACTCAAGTTGATTTCAAACAATATACAATTATCACTCATTAAGAAATTTCAAATTCCCAGTACATATACATACAGTGATAATACTAATGTGCATTTTGTCCAACACATGTCTCATCTCAAACACAAAAATGAAAAACCAAAGAAAAAAGCTTTTTTAGAATTGCTGAATTATGCACAGAAAATAGGATTTTTAAAAACCAGACAAGACTGATATTTGTGTACCAATTTATATAAAGTTTTTCATTTTGTTTTCAAGCCTCCTTACAGACTTGCCCCTGATGATCCTAGACCTGCATCAGTCATCCTTCGAGCACCAGATCATACCAAACAACTGAGAAAGTCAGACCCTGTAGCAAGATACCAACAATTCAGACAGTCATGGTCTCATCAAAGGGCTCCTGGAGAGAAGAAACATAACAATTTACGATGGAATGTTAGAGAACAGATGCTATCACAAGATCAAGTCATAGAAAAGGTAGATAGACACATATGTACTGTATGGACATACTGTGGATTCATTCATTTTAGTGGATACCGATTTTCGTGGTTTTAATAAAACCAAAAAAATTTTGTGGACACTTGATTTCATGTTTTGCCAATCTGTGCATACAAGCCTATAGGAAATTTATATTTCACATTTAAATTTGTGGTTCATTTATATCCACGAAATTAACAAAAACGGGTTTCAACAAATGATAAAGATTATCGTTATTTTGTGTATTTTTCCATTGATCTGTTTATGTGATAGTTTTTCATTTCATGCTCCTCGCTTGAGATAGAAAATTATCGTCAAAAACTAAGGGCACACATGTCGTTGTCAATGTAAACATCAACAACGTCATAGGCAAAATAGCGATAACAGATTATTAATGGTCTTTCAAACTGGAGGATGTCATTCAGCCACATCTTATCTCAGGAATGTTGACCTTTGATGAGATTGTAGCTGAGAAACACCCTCTTGTTTGAAAAACCATCGATAATCTATAAATCCTTAGTATATCAGATAGCATGTAAGATATGGTTTAAACCACAATTGGAGCAATGTATGGAATCCATATCATGCAGTAATTGTGACATGTTTTTCGATTGTTTTGAACCTTCATATGCATGATTGCTTGTTTTGAAACTATGACACTTTTGAAAATGTGTTTTTTTTTGTGTACAACAAGAAGATTTTTAGAAAAGGCTGATAAGTATTAACATTTAAATTATGGTTATGTAGCTATTACAATGTTGTTATACTTCCACTCTGAAGAAATAGGATATAATTGTTTATCTTTGTCCCTCAATCCTTAACCCTTTTGTTGTCAAATTTTTCTCAGCAACTATAACATAGATTTTTAAGAAATGCAAGTTTTGTGTATTTTTCGAACAGTTTAAAATAATCTTGATTGTTACAAAAATTAGCACTTTAAATGATTATTATCATTTAATTTCATGTAACATAACCAGTCTTTGTGTCTTGTGACATTGGATCTATTCATTTCAGAATTTGATGACATCATTAGTTATCTTTTTTATTTTGTAGAAGTCTCAGCGAGTATTTGTTCCTAACAAGTATGTCGTACCAACAGATAAACAGAGAAAATCATTGCGATGGAATATCAGAATGGACTTAGCTCATGGACAAATGCCACCACATGGTTTTTATCATGAATGTTAAAGTACAAATACTGCATTTCATTTGTCTTGAAGGATGAAATTAAATCTCTCTTTTTGAGGTGCTTAACAATATTAAAGAATTCATGAAAAGAAAACACCTGTAGATTGTGATATATGTGGATAAAAAAATGGCTATGAAAATGTTACTTCAAGTTTAAAGCATGTGTAAAAAAACAGGGTGTCTCATAAATGTTCTTTAATATTTTTACTTTATTTATCTTAGTTATAGATAATATGTTGTTGACTTAAAATTCTTAGGAAATATACATGTTGATTTATGAAGATAAAAAGGCATTTAATCAAGGAATTAAAAATGGATAAAATATTTTGTATCGTTATATACATGTAGATATAATTCAGATTATGTTGCATTGATTTGCAAAATCATGTTCAACTTGTTTTCTCTGTACTGTAAAAAAAATATTATTGTGAAGATTGAAATGTGATGACTATATTGTCCCCCGCAATTATTTTTAAAAGAGTTATGTCCCTTGGAATTATTTATTTTTATGGAAAATTGCACTGTTAGCGCTCTCATGTGTATAATTCTTGCCAGAAAATTTTAGGTTTATATCAGCAATGTTTTTTGACACTTTCAAAAATAAGAACTGATCAAATATTTTACGAGTTATGCCCCTTGGAGAAATTAACTATAATGGAAGTTGCATTGCATTTGCTCTGAAGCCTTCAATTCTGTAAGATATTTATAAATTGTTTTAAAGAACAAAAAAAAGTACTTTTATTAGTTATAGCCCTTGGATAGATAAAATGTGTGCAATGCGGGGGACATTGAAACTCTGTTCTTTCACCAACCTTTATATTATGAGAGGAATAAATAAAGATATGGGGTAAGCTCAATCAGAAAGCCATCCAATGACACAAAAACGTTAAAAAACATAATTTTAGGCACCTTAATGAATATTGCTACAAAATCAAAATGAATTGCTTTAGTTGTTTGATTGTTGTGTCCTCAGTAATATGATGCATTTGTCTTATGAGACATAATTTTTGTATATATGGTAAATCAATTGTAATGTAAATAATATTTATTTAAGAATATATTTTTATTGTAGAATGAAAAGAAAATGTCGAAAATATTAAAATAATAGAAATTCTGCTTATCTTGATTTTTTATTCCAAGAGTTATATTTGGGTCTGTAAAAACTGTGACTATGACAGCAGGTGTGTGTTGAACCTGTCCATACTGATAAGTTAGTGATAATAAGTATCTATATTTTCAAGTTTCGTTTTATTTTAGCTGAACATTTTATTCCAGTACTGTTCTTTGTAGGTAATGGGAACCTATTCTTAAATCATTCAAGTCTTGAGTTAAATCGTCTACGGAAAACACCCAATTAAGTGTGTTATGGGTTATACTTTTTGTAGTTTCAGACCTAAAGACTTACCGTACTTGAAAAATAAACTTTTGTTTAAAGTTATTTTGATCAAAGAAAACGCAAAAATAAATCAAATGTTACCATTGATGAAATAATATTACTCTGATATTCCATTGATTTGGAAAGTAAAGAAAAGTAAACATTCAAAAGTAGAAAAAAAAATAAACATCCTTGGACATACAACATGAGTGTTTTATTTTATATTATTAGGTAAATTCCATGTTTTTATCACATCTAATGTTCATCTTCCTTTGCTGGACAGTCAATTTAGTAATTGTTTGTTGGTCTCTTCAGTTCTTTTATCTAATTTATTTATAGGTCGCCCATGGATAAATTATTGTTTATTGTAAATACTGGTAAAGAGAGATCATCATGGTTCTTGCCTAATATGAATTCTTGAGATCCTATTGGAACCTCTTCTGGAAAATTTCAAGATTAAGAACTGCAATAAAAGCATTTTTCCTTTCATGCATGGTTATTTCCTTGTATTTCTTCCGATTAGTGTCTCATAAACATGTGATAATCCCATATCCCCTTTTCCCCCAATATGTAATGAACTGGCAAATCAACACCTATGATTATGTACTTCAAATATTTAATGGTACCCGGTATTTACAACTACATATATTTTTCCAACCTATGCCTTATTCAAATTTTAAAATGATATAAAATAAATACACTGGTTTTATTAGTTTGCCTAAAGAAAGTTAAAGTGTTTCTATATATCAGTTTCCACATGTGTGTCCACAGTCAGAAACTTAAGAAAATACAGCCAAATAAATTGGTGTGCAGATGCACCTAGGAAAGACTTGACAATTTACCAAAAGATGAACTCTGTAAGGTTTGTCTTACAATCTTTATTCAGAAAATATCCTCAATATAGACAAAATCAGACTTCTCATACATGCAAAATTGGTGTCCTCAAAGTGTTAAAAATGAAGTGATAGATGTTTTTTTAAACCAGACCAACCCTTCATAAACATCAATTTATGTTTCAAAAGATGTGGATGTACACTCTCTTAATCTTGAGATCTAGAATATGTCAAAATTCCTTTTTTGAAGTCCAACAAACTGAAGATATTGACATAGAGGTCCAGAACATCTAAAACAGTCTCTCTAGTGAAGACTTTGTTGCAATTGACATAATATCCAGGGATACACTAACTGATTGTGAGCAGTTCATATAAAAATAAGGAGATGTGGTATGATTGCTAATGAGACAACTATCCACCAAAGTTCAAATGAAGTTGATGTAAGCAAATATAGGCAACCGTACGGCCTTCAACAATGAGAAAAACCCATACCGTACGGTTGGCTATAAAAGGCCCCGACATGAAAAATATGAAACAATTCAACTGAGAAAACTAACGGCCTAATTTACAACAAACCAATTTACGAAAAACAAATATGACAGACATGAACCAATGACAACCACTGAACTAAAGGCTCCTGACTTGGGACAGGCACATAAAGAATGTGGCTGGGTTAAACATGTTTGTGAGCGCCCAACCCTCCCCTAACCTGGGACAGTGGTGTAAGAGTACAACATAAGAAAAAACTATAAAAATCAGTTGAAAAAGGCTTAACTCATCAGATGGATACAAATAGAAATACATCTAACATCTGGACGTGGAAGGGTACTTGTACATCCCAAAAACGAAAAGACACAAACTACAGATTTGAGAGTACTCGCAGTTACTGACAGCTAGTTCAAAGCCAATAACAACTATGTATCTAAGACTAAAATATCAACCAATACACTTCCAACATCCAATGGATTTAGTGTAAAGACGTAATTAACAGTCAGAGAACTCATGACCTTGTGCAATGCCAAACTATAAGTATCGACAGATTGTAGTACCGTGAAAGTACATTTGTGTAATATTTAGTATGGTTTTAATTTACTGAAAACAAAATCAATATTTATGCCAATAAAAACAATATTCAAAGATTTAATTACAGTGTTGAATAGGTAACCTTTTAGAATAAGTTTATTTAAAGGATTGATAAGTTTACCTGGATCGAATCTATATTTCCGGGCTCGGTTTACAACATCACAGTAAAATTTTGGATGTGCTATTCTGCTTGAAATGTACAGCCAAACTTGCAGACCAAATCTTTGTATTTATGAAAGAATTTAGTAAAGGTTCTAAGTAATTTGTGGTAACGAAATCCCTGACTTAATAATTTACTAGTAATACATAGATTACACTCATTCAAATCCAAAACGTCACTACAGACACGAGCATAGCAAACGAGTTGGGATATAAACACTGTAAGATGGTGCCAAAGGAACATCACCGTCCAAAAAGGGAAAATTAACAATAGGGAAAGAAAAATCATCCCTTTTGTCGTAAATTTTTTGTGTAGAGTTTCTGGTGTAATACTGAAATATCTAAATCTAGGAAAGGACAGTTATTGCTGTTGGTATTAGAATTATTTAAAGTAAGTTCCTTTGGGTAAATTTCAGCAGTATATTTATAGAATTCTTGATTATTTAACGAAAAAATATCATCAGGATAACGGTAAATGTTGTTGAATTAATCAATTAAATGGAATTAAGACGGTTCTTTACTGAGTCTGGCCATAAACTGTGATTCATAACAGTAAAGGAACAAGTCTGCTATTAAAGGGGCACAATTGGTGCCCATAGGAATAAATACAATCTGATTATAAAATTTATTGCCAAAACGTAAAATGTTGCCAAAGAGAAAATTTAGTGCTTGGATCATCTAATCACACCTCCAGTAAGTATATCTAGCATATTAACCTTTCTCATTAGAGAAAAAGGCTTTATATGAGTTGCAGAAAATAATTTGCAACCAGATTTATTAAACGACCATTTAATTAGAAAGGAAAACTTTTGTTTGATAAGGTTGTGTGGAAGTGTAGTATAAAGAGTGGAAATATCAAAATGTCAACCAAATCAAAAGGACCAGCAAAAGCACGTACTTTATCTGAAACATCCAAAGAATTTTTTACAATCCAAAAATGATTACAGCTCTTTTCATAATGCTAGCAAGACAAAGGTTTGTTTGGCTTGCTTGCTTTGTTTGTATCAATGTTTGCTCAAGCATTGTAATTAAGATTGACATCTGCAAACAATATAAGTAGGCGGAGTTAAATCTGTGTAAAGGTAAATTTGATTATTTGATAATGTCCAATCAAATTTAAATATAATGTATACAAGTTTAAATCCTCCTTTTTATGTTGTTTTCAGATGTCAATCTTAATAACAATGCTTGAGCAAACATTGATACAAACAAAGCAAGCAAGCCAAACAAACCTTTGCCTTGCTAGCATTATGAAAAGAGCTGTAATTCCATTGTTTTCATATGTTTTATTACAAAAATTAACGATAAGTTCTTTGATAGTAGTTAAGGAACTTGTTAAAAGCACCGAAAGATTAGTAGTAGAACACTAACTAGAGGCCGAGATGAAACGATAATTTACGGGTTTTTTTTGTGCAATTTATGTAACCAATACATAGTGGGGACCTTCAAATGTTCCGAGGATGCCTTAAGCTGAGCTGTGGTAATAACATGATTATTTACTATATGACTCTCTGTGGAGCGTACGGCCTTGGATGTAGTTGAATGTATAATTTCATTCTTAAGGACCTCCGTGTAGTATTTACGTCATACCACTATCACATTGTTGGCTGCTTTGTAGGCCAATACGAACACAAAACGCTTTTGATAGTACTTGAATTTTGTTTGGCATTCACACAATACCTGATGTATTTCAAACAGTTTGAAGAAAGAAAATTTTCCATAAAAACTGTGAACATGCCTGTTGTACAAGATTCTCCACATGATACATGTTTCTGGAGTTCTCTCTTCACGGTATGTGCCAGAACAATTTTTTTAGAAAGATAAATTAACAAATACATCTAAATCAAGAGATTCATATGATTAATCAAAGAGTTAAAACATCAATATAAATCTACTAACACTTTGAGGACATGCTATTGTATAATGATTTAAGCCTTTATCATATGCTTTAATTTTCTGTGAAATTTCAACTTTTCATTTACCCTTTTAATGACTTTCATGGAGAAAAAAAAACATCGAAAAAGATGACATGGAGCAGTGCTCCTTTCTTAAATGCATCATTTTGTGGATGTGTTTTTTTATATACTAGAATATAGTCTGCATTCTTATGTGATACAACTCGCTGACTTATTCCTTGTAATGGTATGAGAAAAACTTCATTCAGGGGCTTCTCAATAAAAATGAAAAGAATTCTATGATCCTAGAACTATATAGATGATGTCATCTAATTGATACTTTAATAAAAACAAATTATGACTATGTTGATGTATCCCATCGAACTTGAATCAAGAAAAAAAAAACAATTTACCATTCTTTGTTCTTGAATCCTAAAATGTCTTTACTTGTTCCTGTATAATTCTCCAAAGTTAATATCCATCTCATTGCTCTCATGTTGTATAGGATCTCAAGTTTATTTCTCAATTCGATGTCGATTTTTTGGTTAATTTCAGGTTGTTTAAGTTTATGGAAGTCTATGTGATCTTGCTTCGTATTTAACACTTTTTAAAAAATGTTAATCTGATATTTCCAACAACTAGGTATAATAGCCACCATAGACATCTGTACCACTTTTTATTCTCATATCTGAGTGACGACCTTCATAATGATTTTTGATTCCTCAGTATGTGATCAATTTGAATTTTCACATTCCAATTCGGAGACCTCCATGTGCCTTTGTGTACATGTAAACTAAGCAAAAATTTCAAGGTCAATAGACCATCACTGAGGGGTAAGGACCAAATATCCTTTATGGAAATGAATTGTGCTAATGCTTATACAACTGCATACCAATTATCATTGACCTACGCTACTAACGGTTCCCCTTAAACTGACCTAATCATAAACTTATACATGAAAACTAAGCAAAAGTTTTAAATTCAATAGACCATGACTGAGAGGAGGGCAAATAATCTCCATGGAAATAAGAAGTGCCAATGCTAAAACAACTGCATACTTAATATCACTACCACTAGCGGTTCATCATAAACTAGACCTGATCACAAACTAATACATTGTTGATCGGCGCCGCCACGGCCGCCGACGCCGGAAACAGCATACCTATGTCTCGCTTTTTGACTCCGTCAAGGCGAGACAAAAACGGATTAGGAGTACGACAACGTGAGCATATTCATAACCATTGTGAAAGGAACATTGAATAATGGTCAACCAAATCGTGATGACAACCCGATAAAATGTTCCTAGTAAGGAAGTAATATATTCTTAGACAGACTTTAGGAGTGAAATGACGTGGCCCGGGAGAATAAGCATTTCCTACTCTTTGCATGGTACCTGGTTGACCCTGTCATTTAACCAAGTCCCAAAAAGCTGTTTGCATGAAAACAATTTGAATTTTTACCTATTTATTTGAGCGTTAATAAGTCTTTTGATCTGATGACGATTTCATTCAAAGTCCTGTAATGAAAACAAGGAGAAGGAACAAACATGAAACATAAACACTGAAAAACATTCAAACATATCAGTCATTTGCGTGAAATTGCCTGCACTAGCAATTTTGCTGCTACGAATGACTATGGGTTTGTTCGCTAGTATTCTTATATCATCCGAATGAGATGAGTTAAATCTTCTCATTTGCAGGGATCCGTTACCGTAAACTCGAATTTCTGAAATATAATTTAATTTATGGATGAGGGTCCTTGAAAACTGGCCTTTTCTTTTACTTCTATATAACAAAACCGTTATCGCTAGCGGCGCGAACGTTATAGCAGAGACATATATACACAGTTTACTCTTTTTAAAATCACAGTAGTTTATATGTTGTTCACAGGCACTAAATAATTTATTATTCCCATTAATTATAAGGTCCTACAGGAGGCATTTACAAGCAACAATATAAGCAATCATGAAACATGATACATATTTTATAGTATAATATAATGTGCCATACATTGTAAATCTGTAGATGATAAAATGCAGAACTTAACATTTGGATTATTTGCTATGTACATGGCGATGTAGCTCGTGTGCATTATCAGTTAAATCGTTTTATACTATAACTTAAAGACTTATTGAATTTGTAAAAAAAAGAAAAAAATGCCAGTTGCCAAGAGTCGGTTGCTCAACTGCAAAAGACACATAGGGACAGTGCATTTAAACCTGTATAATAGTTCTCCTCAGTGTCTAATGCGGATAAGGAATCTTTCTTTTTTCTTCCCTTTCTCCGACCTCTCCTTTTTTATAACATTTTTATTAGCAGCAACCAAGAGATCAAATACACCTTTATTAATCCCAAAAGGTTTATTTTTTTTCAGAGACAATTAAGTATCTGTGATATTGCCCCTATATTGCTGAATGCAATGCAAGAACCTTTCTCACTAATTAGCGACAAGAAGCCACAAGAAGCTTCTTGTCGCTTCTCGACGCTTCTCGTCGCTAATTAGTGAGACACGCAAGAACGGATAAAGTCCGACACGTCCGAAAGATTTCCCGTATTTTTGTTTTAATTTGGCGCCTTTTCAATACCGGAACACTAACTAATCTTATCAAAGCTATCTATATACAACCAAAGACGTTGAAAGTCCATCAAATATCAGAGTATAAATAAGGGAACCGTAAAGGCGAAACTGGGCTATGACCGAAAATGTATAGGGGGACAAATACAGGGACAAATACAGGGACAAACGGACCACAATAAGAAATAATGAGATCAGGATGAAGTTATGAAACTGCACAAAATGAAATATAACATTTGACGAAGACCATGGCTATGTCTAAATCTTTACAGGAGGGGCAGGCTCCAATATCCTGTCAACTGTGCGAGGAATCTAGTGAAATCAAATGGAAATGTCTGCAATGAAACTTCCTCGTGTGTTCAAGATGTAAGAACATTCACCAAAAAGTTAAATCATCAGACCAGCATAAAATAATTGATATCAAAGACATAGCTGAATACCAAGAGTATTCCAGTGATCCAGATTTTCACAGTATTGAATGTGGGGTTCACACTGGACAAATATGTTGCTTATATTGTCAAACCTGTGAGGAAGTTGTCTGTCCATCATGTATAGCAAAAACCCATAATGAACACAAGATGACTGTAATGAATGAGGCTTATGACTTGGCTATGGAGTCAATTAAATGTATGAACTCTGAAGTAAAACAGAAATTATCAGAAATATTTAGTGGGAAATCTAAACTTGGAGCTATAAAATCTTCTGAAAAACTTAAACTTGATACAGAGAAGAAGAAAGTTCTTAATCAAGATAATCTTTTAAAAGATGAAGTGAACAAGTTGACACGAAAAATTTTAAATGAACTTGATCAGAAACATAGGGAACTGATGAAGTCAGTAAATCATGAGGAAAATAAATCTGAAAAACAACTCCAGGATTTAGAACTTAGAAATAACATTATAAGCAAAGCTGTAAGTTCTAACAATGCCATTCAAGTCTTCCGCACATATAAAGAGGAGAAAATTGCAGAGGAAATGAAAGCACTTCAGATAACCACAAAGTTTAAAAAGCTTCCAGAATTTTTTCCAGGCAATATACAAAGTTTTGAGTTGTTGTATGGAAAGTTACATGAACCTGAAGACAAATACACTGACCTGTTCAATAATTTTGAATTTAAAGTTATACAACAGTATAAAACTGATTTGCCACTTGTTGAAGATTTAGTCTGTTGTGATGATGGATTTATGTGGATAAGCTTTACTAATGGAAAAGTTGTACAGAAAATAAGCTTTTCTAAAGGATCAACATTTACCCTGCAAGCCTATGAAGTGTCTCCATTAAGCATTGCGTTATTACCATCAGGAGACTTGCTAATTTCATCTATGGAATCTTACCTCAATATACTTTCTAAGAGCACAGACACAATAACAGAGTCAAAATACCGAGTTGCTCCTCTCCAAACAGTTGCAGTTCATGTAACCAAAACCAATCAGATAATTGTAGGGGCAAGAGAGAAAGGACCACCATTCCCTGTCAATGGTCCCAGACAAGTTATTATAATGAATATGCAAGGCAAGAAAAAGAAGAGGTATCACTTGGACAACAAGGGAAACCCTATTTTTTCACAGCCACGATCAATAACTACTGATGGTGACAATAACATTTATGTTTTGGATTTACTATCAATAGACAAGTGGCAAGGTAGGATAGTCGCTTTATGCAATAGTAATGGAGTGAAGTGGACATATGATGGAAATCAAATGGCAAATAAGGAACAATTATTTGCACCTTTTAGTTTTGTGACTACACCATTAAACAATATCGTTGTTGCAGATAACAACCATATGCTTCATATACTGAACCAAACAGGAGAATGCATCCATTTCCTGCATACAAAGGAGTTTGACATCCACTGGCCAAGATCCCTCGACATTGACAAAAGTGGAACCCTGTACATTGGGTGTAAAATATACAATAAATGGAACCCCTGGGAGGCAAAAATACATGCTGTTCAATTCTCTGGATTCTGAGCATGATAAAGAAGTTATTTTCATAACTTGAGATGAAATTTAATTCCAATAAACTGAGAAATCATGATGTTTGGTTACCAATTCAATAAGGGTTCTTTTTGTAAAATTAACATCTTTAAAAATACAAGCATACATGTAAATAAGTTTGTGTTTAGCATCAATTTTTATTATTCATATTTCATTATTGCCTTGATTATTAGTACCATACAGACGAAGTAGAAGGGGACTTTAGGTTTGCACTCCATCCATCTGTTTGTCTGTCTGTCTGTCTGTCCATCTGTCAGTCCGGAAAATCAGATTTCCAGACTTTTTTTCTTCATGCTTGAAGATATTGATTTGATATTTGGTTTATTGTTTTATCATGACAAGTTACAGGTCAAGTTCAATTTTCACGATTTTAGCTTTTCTCTTTGTTCAGTTAAAGCCCCTTTCCCTAGAATTAAATTTTTGAAGAAATACTTATTAATTAGTAGATTTCTGTTCAAAGGGAAATAACTCATTTAAAAAAAAATAATAAAAGACAAAATGACATTTTGGATTTTTTTTTATTGTCTTTGGTAAATTGTTTGAAGAATTTAGTGGAAGTTTGTTTGTCATTCTTGAAGATATTGATTTGATAATTATTATATAGTTTTATCATGACAAGTTACAGATCAAGTTTGAATTTTGTTGCGGTCTGATGATTTTGTGCAGAGTTATGGTTTTTGGACATAGAAAATTCACTTAAATAATCAGTTTTCAACAGTTTTTTTCGTCATGCTTGAAGATTTTGACTTGATATTTTTATGCAGTTTACACCATGACAAGTTATAGATCAAGTTAGAATTTAGTTCCATTACAATGAATTTTTAACCGGTAGGGGACTATGTATTGCCATGCAATACTCACAGAATGCTTGTTACTTTTATTTGTTAAGACAACAGGCAACTGACAAAAGCTATATGAAAATAAGAAGATGTGGTATGATTGCAAATAAGACAACTCTCCACCATAGATTACATGACGTAGAAGGTTAGCAACTATAGGTCACTGTACAGCCTTCAACTATGAGCTGAACCCATACCGCATAGCAAGCTATAAAAGGCCCCAATAAGAAAACTAATGGCCTGATTCGTGTACAAAAACAATAAACGAAAAAAACAAATATGATATACAGCAACAAAAGACAACCAATAATTTATAGGCTCCTGATTTGGGACATGCACATACTAAATGTGGCGGGGTTGAACAGAGGTGTAACAGCACAACATAAGAACAAAGTTCAACAAACTAAAACTCATTTGAAAAGGGCTTCTTAACTGATCAGATCACACAAAGCACAAAAACAACTAAACAAAAACACAAGACACAAGTACAGAAAACTACAGATCTGAAAGTACTTGCAATTACTGAAAGCTAGTTCAAAGCCAATAACTATTTAAAAAAATATGTAACTATATCATGAGTCAATCAAGTGCACATTAATAAATTTGCAGATGATAAAGCAAGACTCAAACCCATGTAATTATATAATTATGGTACCATTCCTATTTTACAAGCAAAATTTTAAGTCTTGTAACTAGAAGTTAACACAATTGAACAGATCAAAATCAATGAGTTAAGTTAATAAAGTGGGCCTTGGATACATTCACTGACTTGACAATTTTGACAGTAAACATGTACTTTTCTTCACTGAGCTTGTTTGAATCAGACTATTATCTTTGATGTCTGTTGAATTTTCATTCCCCAAATTGACCACAATGCATTAAATTCTTGAACCAAGAATTTAGGGAGGCGTTGGTTAATTTGGCAAGTTTCTATATTTCACTGTTACCTGGACTTTATAAAAAAAATATGCACACCCTGAAATGTCATCCTGCTTAACTGATCATGATTGAATTTAAGTTGGAAGTCTAAAACAATGATTCTAATGTATCAAATAAAACTTTTAAGATTACCAAAGATCCATAAAAAAGGGGACACCATGCTATCCTTCCATAAACTAATATAAGATAAGGAGATGTGGTTGATTGTCAATGTGACAACTATCCACAAGCAACCAAAGAACAAAGTTGTTAACAACTACAGGTCACCTTACTGCCTTCAACAATGAGTAAAACCTAATTTGTATAGTAACATATAAAAAGGCCCTGGCATGACCAAATGTCTTAAATGAAGTTGACCTAAAAAATGTATTGTTTCAAGCACAAAAATGAGAAACTGGCCTTACCACCAAAAGCTTTGTGTTGACCAATGAACCATGACAATGAGGTCAAGGTCAGAGGAACACTGCCAGACAAACATGTACACCTTACAATAAATCAATACACCAAATATAGTTTACCTATTGCTATAAATAGTATCTTGGAAACAGACCAAACCACAAAAAAATGAAATTTAACCAATGAACCATGAGAATGAGGTCAAGGTCAGATGAACCCCGGCTGACAGTATACCTTACAATCATTTCATACCATACACTGTTTATAGATGATCAATAGTTCAAATTATATTAGAAATTCACCTCATCATGAAATCTTAACCAATAAACCATGACAATTAGGTCAAGGTAGTTTGAACCCTGCAATACAAAATTGTATACTTAAAATCAAAAATCAATCCATAAACCAAATATAGGTTACCTATCTCTAATAGTATCTAATTTTCGTGGTTTTTGTAGATGGCTTTATCCACAAATTCAGTGTCCAACGAAATATAACAACTGTTGTCCACATCAAGACCTGGAAAGATCTCCATGTAAGTTTGACTACATGGATACAGGCATATAATTTAGAGAATACATCAAATATTAATAAATGCACTATGAACTACAAATACAACTATAGACATGATTTTACACGTTTAATCTGTATAAAACCTAAATTGTACAACTTTTAACCTTTTAATTCTCATGAAAAATTAGTTTTGATCTAATAAAGTCAGACTTCCGGTGATATCGATGATGACGTGTTCATTTTATCTCCTCATAATTTTCATATGAAAAAAAAAAATCATATTGGGTCTGCTTTTTTATTTCATAAGAATCAATTCTACAATTCAAAGTTCATTTGTAGCATTTTTTATGTTACTGTTTTTTGTAAGTGACTTGTTTATGGCCCAATTAACACCCTTGATGTTTGTTGATCATTCGATCTCGGGTTAATTAGTGTCATCAATCAAGACAATTTATAAGCATAGATGATTAAACTTATTTCCAAAAGCAAATATTTAATTAAAAATTTGATGAATGTTGTCCGTAATGAAAGATGAACAAGTAAGTGAAAATGGACACATTATTTTGCAATAGCCTACAAATCATTATAAAACAACATATGATTACTTTCAAAAATCTTCGTTTCTAATTTTTTTCTTCAGAAAACTAGAATCTACGAATTTAAGAACCCATGAAAAGGTAACTTTAGCTCAAACAACGAAAATTGATACCCTCGAATTAAAGTACTTTCACAGTATCCAAGTTACAGACCTAAACACAAAAACTGAACTTTGATCAGTGAACCATGAATTGGGGGGCCAAGCTCAAATGGACATGGACATGTACATCTTAAAATCATTCCATACACAGAATATATTTTTTTACTTATTGTTTATAGTATCTGAAAAACTTATATTTAGCAGATGTCTTGCATACTATTTTGAAAATGCTGTGACAAATTTATCTACATTGGCATCATGATTTAAATACCAAAAAAGATATGTTTTCTTTCCCAGATTTCAATTGTTAACTAGGACATGTTCATTGTGATGACAAAAGTTGTTACTCTACCAATAATAAATAGTTCAAACATATTTCATTTGATCAAAACATAGCATAATAATATATACCGAAAACTTTTATCCATATTAGCCCCTTTTTTTTATGTCCTATACTTATGGAAAGATTTTAAGGCAATCACCTACCTTAATATCGTATAACTAACCTATAGACATATTACATTACATGACATAATTTAGCATCACTAGTTTAAATCTTAACTTTTGGTTCAATAAAAAGTGTAGGTTTGTAGTGACTAATACATTAAGAACTTTACATATAAATTAATAATTAATACATAAAGAACATTACATATTGCCACTTGCAATAAAGCTTACAGTTATATGAACAAATTGAAATATCTACAACATTAAACTTCATTGCGAATAGGTGATTGAAAGAAATCTAGGAGGAATTACTATTTCAGAAAGACATGATCTTTTAATTAACCATGCTGAAATATACACAAGAAGCCACCCATTTTTAACCAAAAATAGGGCTTGTGTGGCATTATTCTGAAAAACAAAACCACCATATAATGATATTACAATTTAAAAAATTCTCCATAGATTAAAGACAAGAGTGCACACACTGAAATATCTCACCTGCTTTACTTATCATGATTGGATTTATGTTGAAAGTCTGTAATATAAAGGTTTTACTACAAAGTCTACAAGTATCACATAAACATTATCAGTGATCCATGCAAATGAGGCAGAGGTCTGATGAACCTTGCCAGACAGACATAAACATTTTACAATCATACCATACACCAAAAATAGTTGGCCAGTTGCTTATAGTATCTGATAAATGGACAAAACAATGAAACCTTAACATTGACCAATGGGTCAAGGTCAGATGAAACCTGCCAGAAAAACATGTACACCTGACAATCATTCCATACACAAAATAAAGTGGCTCTATTGCTTACAGTATCCGTGATATAGAACAAAATGGAAACTCTTAACATTGTCCAATGAACCATAAAAAAGGTCAAGGTCAGATGAATCATGTCAGAGGGACATGTACACCTTACAATCATTCCATACAACAAATACTACTGATCTATTTCTTATAGTATATGAGAAATAGTTCCAAACCAATAAAACTTAACATTAACCAATGAACCATGAAAGTGAGATTAAGGTCAGTTTAAATCAGCCACTTGGACATGTACACCTTACAATTATGCTATATACCAAATATAGTTGACCTATTGCTCATAGTATCTGAGATACAGATTTGACTAAAAAAACTTCACCTTGATCACTGATCCATGAAAAGAGGTTGAGGTCAGGTTATCCTGTCTTAAGGACATGAAGACATTGCAAGGATCCCATATACCAAATATAGTTATCGTATTACTCATAGTGAGTATTTCACCTGACAAAACTCTACATTATTTCTGAGCAGTTGCTGAACCATGAAAATGAGGTCAAGGACAATGGACATGTGACAGCAGGAAACTGAGGTATCTGCATACAAGGTATGAAGCATCCAGGTCATATATCTTCTGAAATATAAAGCTTTATACAAAAAGTTTACACCGCCAGATAGTTATCTCTATGTCTCCCATTTTGTGACTTTCGTTGCAGGTGAGACTAAAATAAATATATTGAATCTCTCTCTGTTAAAGTATTTGACTTATGATTTCACCTGGTTAAAAGTGAAACTTAAATGTACCAAAGATTACAAAAAGTTTTCAAAATGACAACAAATTCTAAGTGACGGAAGTACCTCACACAACAATTAGTAAACAGAAACAGGGGAACTGAAAATGTTTAAAATAAAGAAGTAAATTAACTGAAACAAAAAATACTATGACAAACACATGGTAATTTATTCATTATATTCAAATTTAACATCTTCCTTTTGAGCACTATATAAAATTTGTAATAGTTTGCTTTCTATTTTTTCCACAGCAGCTAATGTCAATACCAGGGTCTCATGTTTCAACATACTGTACACATTTAAACCTACAAAAAATAATAAAATTAAATCGGCTTCAATGATGTATTATAGAACTCTAAAGTTATTTTAAACAAAGTATACTGAATATGAAAAGAAATGCAACAATGATTTGACATACAATATCATAATTAACTAAACAATAATTCTACATCTTTGAAAGATAATAGTTACCATGGCTGTTTTAAAACCTGAATAAGTTTACATGAAAAGACTTTACTGTCTTTATGAAAAATAAAATTCTGGATTGGCTTAATTTTCATTTGAGACAATAAGAGTTTAGATTAGTAATGTAAAATAAAAATAATTGTCTATTCTTAGAAACATTTTTTCCCTAAATTTAAAAGATCATAAAGTTTTTTAAGAATTAAAGACCATTCTTCATTAATTTCTATTTCTATAATGATTTTCTCATAAGAATGTTCATAATACAATCAAGGTCGCAACATTTCTAAACTTTTTAACATGCATAAATCAACTTCATCAATTTGTTTTTGTTCATTATTTTGTACATAAATCAGGCTGTCAGTTTAAAAATAAGAAGATGTGGTATGATTGCCAATGAGACAACTCTCCACAAGAGACCAAATGACACAGAAATTAACAACTATAGGTCAACGTACAAAATGACCTTGACCTCATTTTCATGGTTCATTGGTCAATGATAAGTTTTCATGGTTTTTTTCAGATATTTCAAGCAATAGGTCAACAATATTTGGTGAATAGAAGATTTTAGGTTATATATATAAAAATAAGAAGATGTGGTATGATTGCCATGAGACAATTCTCCACGAGAGATCAAATGACTCAGAAATTAACAACTATAGGTCACCGTACGGCCTTCAACAATGAGCAGAGCCCATACCACAGTCAACTATAAAAGGCAAATAAAATCATTCAAAGTCAATGAACCATGACTGAAAGTGCAGGGCCAAGTAAGCTACATGGAAGTGAGAAATGCCAATGGTTATAAAACTGCATACCAAATACGACTGACTTATCATGAGTGGTTCCCTTTAAACTAAACTAAATACAAATTTAACATGTAAACTATGTAAAAGTTTCAAAGTCAATGAACCATGACTGAGGGGGGACAAATAATCTCCATGGAAATGAGATGTGCTAATGCTAATACATCTGCATAGCAAATATCATTGACTTATCATTAATGGTTACCCTTAAATTGACCTAATCACAAACTAATACATGTAAACTAAGCAAGTTTATAAGTCAATAGACCATGATTGAGAGAGCAAGGCCAAATAATCTCCATGGAAATGAAATGTGCCAATGCTCATACAACTATGGTACATATCACTTATCATAGACCTACCACTAGTGGTTCCAAATAAACTGACCTAATCACAAACTAACAGATTATTGACGCCAATGACACTGGAAACTGCATGTCTAAGTCTCGCTTTTTCGACTTTGTGATTAAGCAGTTTTGTGAGATGATTTGCCTCTTAGTCATGCTTCAATGAATTTTGGATCTTTACATTGTTCAAGTGTTTAGATTTATGATTAGTGTGTTTAAGAAAAAGTATTGATGAGTTCCAATGCCCCCCGCGTTGCACATATTTTTTATTTCCAAGGGGCATAACTCTTAAAAAAGTCGATCGTCAACCATTATAGAACTTGTCCAAGATATTGCAGATATTAACCTATAGTATAAGTTTTATAAAAATCTGGCAAGAATTGTACCCGTAAGAGCGCTAACAAGACTGGAAGGACAGACGGACAGACTCAAAGTATTTCCATGCCCCCCCCCCCCAACGCGTTACGCGGGGGACAATAAATGCATGTCATTGCATGGAAAATGAAGCCCCCTTAATTATGCATCAGTGACTTTTTCCTTGTTTTAACAATATCTACATATATTCCTATAGAAAATATGTAATTCGCTGAATATTTAAACACTGAAATCCACGAAAAGTGGTATCCAACAAATAATAATGAATCTACAGTATCAATTAAAATAAATATTATCACTGATACATGAAAATGCTATCAAGGCCTGATGAAACTTGCCAAAGGATATTTTCATTGTCCAATTCTTCCATACATTAAATATAGTTGATATACTGCTCTTAAAGTATAACAAAAACAGATCAAACCACAAAATTTTTACTGAGTCTTGTAAACATGGTGAAGAAGTACTTTGCTACTGATGATGTCACTTCGGGTCAACATAATATTTTTTAAAGAACATAACAAGATCTTCATCCACAAATCAGAAAAGTCGGTATCTACAGTCATAAAGTAACTGAATTTAAAGGGAAGAAAATATTAAAGCAATGACCACATATAGTACATAAAAAAGTAAGCACAATCTAGGCACCCATTAGTGGCCTTCAGCTGTTGTCTGCTCTATGGTCGGGTTGTTGTCTCTTTGACACATTCCCCATTTCCATTCTCCATTTTAAAAGTATAAATTGGTACTGAATATATAGTATAAGTGAACCTAACAGGAAGGAACTTACCATATACTGGCATAGCATTAAAATGAGGTATCTGGTTGACTGCTAAAGAGAAATTTCTGGGCATTATATCAGAACTGAAATAAAAAGAAAAGAACTATTGTTGTTGTTGTCAAGCAGTCAAAAAGCCACCAATACCTTCAGTAACTTTTTGAAGACAACAAATAATGTACTGTGCATTAACCCTTTCCCTTTCACACCGGTACAGCTTACCGGTGAAGCAAATTTTAAGATATTTTTTGGGCATTTAGTCTTGTTCCATCGTCATTTGCTGACGTACAGATATGGTTAAGGGCTCAAATCAATCCTCAGGATACCAGCAATATGATTGAATGTGCATCAAACTTCTATCATTATCAGTTCATAGTCAATTCGCCTCTTACTGACATGTATTTATTCTGTAAACACCTTTTTTTTTCTTCGAATTTTAAAGAATATTTTCAAAAAGAAGTGCATAGAAAACTATCCTTTTTGGGGGAATTATGACTTTTTTCAATAACTGTGCAGTGAGTTTTTGAAGAATGGTATTAAAATAATAGTTCTAACTTGTACACTAGTTAAAAATGTAATTTCTAGTGTACCAGCGCAAACACAAACTTGAAATGCGCTAAAAATCCGTAGTCCTTTCTTAAAGATTTTATCGTAAAAGAGATAAAAATCACTGAAATGTCCTGAATTTTTTTAGCAAAGTTGAAATAGATGTAACAAAACATGGTTTCGTAAGTGTTTGGGTATGATAAAGTTGAAAACACTTTTGTTTAAATGAAGGAAAATGTATATGTCAATGGAAACAAGACAGATTAAGAACTGGATTCCTGCTATATTTGCGCAAAAAACCATGCATTTGGCCATTTGGCATCAAAAATATATTATCTGAACACATAATTTCTAATAGAAAACAAGCTGGGTGAGGATCTTCATATGTTTTTTTTTTCACGTCTTGAGTAGTAGACTTAAGTACTTAAATTTCAATATATTCCTAACGATGCCAGTGGTGCAGGGGAATGCTGAACAAACCCAAGGCGGAAAGATCGCGTGTTCGATTCTCACTGCCGGAGGTTGAAAAATTATTTCCTATATTAAATGTAACTTAACTTAACTTTACTTTCAATTTCAAAAAGAAAAACCAACGAAATACTTATGTTTGTTTTTAAAAGAATGTGTGTGCCAAATTGCCCCCCCCCCCCTTTTTGCCCCCATTTACTTCCTCGGGTTCGGTCCAGGGTACGCCACATCAAGTTATCATTAGTAATTAAATGAATTTTCCCTTAGAAAAACAAAATTTAGGTTACTGCTTGACTGAAATCGATTTAGACAAAAAACTAGTGTCCGAGTTTGAAATTGGACGAAAAGAGCGTCTGAAATCAGTTATTTTGAATGTTACGGACATCGAGATTTCAAGGCATATAGCACGCATTTCCTCTTTTAATACCAATATGATAACTTGTATGTCTTTAACAGACTTGGGGCATTGTGTTTCCACCAAAACCTTACCCTATTAGCGCAACAATATGTCTCTACACGACTTTTGTCCCAAGGATTTCGTATTTTTTCACATTTTCTCCAAAAGTCACGTGACATTTCGAAACATCCCACGTGACCAAAAAAGGACGAATTATCTTTAAACGTAATTTTCTGAAATATTTGATCAATTATCTTTCATATGAGCCCAACATGGCATGTGCATGACCATTGGTGCGAATGCAGTATTCAATTGAACTTTGATAGTGTCTTTTCGATAAGTAAAGGTCTAAAATGCCTGAAAGGGAAAGGGTTAAAATATTGTAATTCAAACACGAAAAATATACACAACATATACCGGTACACAAACAGGACTTGACGAAGAGTATTTACAAATCTGTTTCAAATGAAATCTTTCATGTAATTTTGAAAAACAGAGTTACAATCAATCAATTCACTTGTTCTAGATATTTACAGATTGGAGAGTAGTTTACAAACTGAAATCCTTCTTACTATAAGGTACTTAAGTCTTGTGTGAATGTGATAATGACATAAAATTACACCACACAAAAGTTGCATAAATAATAGCACACATTATAATTTTACATGCATTTTGATTAAGTTTTAGAAAATAGAATGACCTGTCTTAGCTATAATACCACTTGTAATCAGGGCTTCCAAAACGGTCATATATTCCGGACTTGACCGAAACTTTCATAAAAAGACCGGCTGCTCTCAGCCTCAAACGGTCAAATAGAATTGGTGTGCCACATTTTGTTATTCAAGGCATTTTCATGAAACGGTCATTTCAATCTTTGGACATGTCCGTTTGGGCATTTTAGTTTATAATTGTGGCAATCTATTTCACAAAGATATTTCGGTCATAATTGGGTTTAATAAAACAGAAGCAGCATATTTCAGATACTTTGAAGTGTCTCAGTTAGTCTAATCCTCTGGGTACATAAATGTACGGCTTGGTCTTTAGCTTGTGTACATCAATAAAAAGTAGAAAAAACACGTTTTCTTTTATTTAAATAACAACAAGCTGTCAAACAATTATCCCTTCAATAAGTTATATTGAAGCCATAAATCATTCACTGATTACAGGTTTGTTACCTTTGATGAGGTGTCCTTAGCTTGTCTTTATCAATAGAATTAATGATGCATTACAATGTACATAAAGGTAATCAGGTAAACGAGGTCAAACATGTAAGCGTGTACGGAACAACATCCTATTTAATTACGCTTTATAGATATTATTTTAAATGAGCATTCAGTTTAAAAGTATCCTGATATTTAAAAGTTATTCTTCAAATAAGGATATTTATAAATGATTAAGTATGATATATATTATTTTATTTAAGCACTGTACATCGTGTTAAATACTGGGGTACTCTCAAGGGGAAAATTTACTAAAATATATAGGAAAAACACCGAGAATAGCTTCGCTTGGGTATACCAAGCTGAGTTGTCCAATAAATAAGGGGGCGTTCTTTATTCTTGTTTTCATATTAAAAACTGTTTTTATAATTAAAATTATAAAGATTAATATCCAATCATGACAATCTCCGACTGTTATAAAGACTTTGTCTCAAATTGAACTTTACAAATCTGCCATCATGGGCAAACGTAAACGTGACGATTCCGATCAAAATTCGAAGTCTGCTAAAAATGCTAGAAGCTTTATTCATAAATGGTTACAACTGTTTTTATGGTTAAGATCGATAGTATGCTAAATGCCATGTTTTGTGACATTTGTCAAAAACATAGACTTAAAAATAACTTTGTAAAGCCTGGTTCGACAAATTTTCGAAAGTCAGCCGTTGTAGAGCATGCTAATAGCAATGACCACATTCAAGCTCTTAAATTAGAGACAGCTTCCAAAAGTAATCCAATTGTATCAGTATTTGAGAAAGTTCATGAAAAGACTGACAACGCAATGTGCACCTTGTTCCGTAATGCTTACTTTATTGCTAAAGTTAAATGGTGCCGTGATCACTTCTAAATTATATCAAGAGAACAATGCCTGCTCCGAATTTATTCAGACAATTTCCGATGTTATAGAGAAAGAGGCGATGTCCGACGTAAAGTTAAGTCCCGCCGTGGGAATTATGATCGACTAAGGTGTAGTCTAGGTATTGACGCTTTAGATCAACTTATGAGGATAAGCTTAGTAGGTGTAGATGTTAAAGACTTTGACCCTGTTCCTGCTATCCGCAAATGGCAATCCGTTCGTAACCGTCACTCTAATCTTGTGCTGTGATCTGTGCTTCTTTTCAATGTGCTCATTGTAATATTTATTGCGTGTGTTTGTCAACATTGTGCTCTTCTGATATTTTATTGTTGTTATATGCTTACATAAAATATCATGTTGTTATTCATTAAATTATTTATCAACTGAGTATGTTTTTATTTATTCCTTATTTTCTAAATCAGGTTGGGAAATTGTACAAAGAAAAATGTTATCACTGTTCAGTAGATTTTACACGGTTTAAAACAATATCCTTCATTGGGCCTCCTCAATGTTATCTATAAATACCGCATCAGTTGTAAAAGTCACGTGGTCAGGTAATCAATACACAAAAAGAAAAGTATCACGTGTATTGATGATCAAGTTGTACTGCAATTAAAGCCAACATCAACAGTTTCAAATAAGATGGCCTTAATATAAAAAGTGTTAAGTACTCACAGAGAGAAGATAGATTATATAAACAGAAACAAAAACATGAGAACAGTCAGGTACTGAAGCTGATTGATGCAATGATGGTTACTATATTACGATACACAGAAAAATGACACAATACGGAGGATAATATTTTATTTATTTTTAGAATGAAGAAAACAAAACAGATATAAATAATTTTATTGCATATAACACTACTAATTATTTAGACATATATCAATTTATGCATCCTCTCAGTTACATTTAAGTATCCAGCTGATCATTGACCGTTAAAAATATTTCTTTGAAAAATGTCCGGCTGTCGTCAGGAAATTTTGGAAGCCCTGCTTGTAATATGTATGTTTTATTGTTTCATTAAGGGTGTACCTGCGTACCATGCATGTTTGAATGGAACATCCCTTACAATACAGATCCAAAATAATTTCAAGACATTGTTTTATTTTGGAAATGTGTCAACACTAAGCATCTGGAATATTCTTCACAAAAACATGTTATTTTTTTTTGAAAGTGTTAACAAATCAATAGAAAAGTTTAACCCATGATAATTTAACTGCATTTAGTTATAAGTCAAAAAGTACATCACTGCAAAATATATCCAGTACATGAGCTACGTCAGAAAAAAATCGACCACATGCAAATGAATATCAATACATCTGTTAACCTATTTGAGGTTAAAAAATCTCTATGGAATGTCTGTTGCTGTTTGAAAATTGAGTTGTTGTAAGAACCCTAAAAAAAACCCCCAAAAAAATCATCTTTTATTTTATATCTAAATGTTCCAAAATCAATCATAGTCTTATACATCAGGGGCGTAGCTACCCGGAGGCACGGGAGCACGTGCATCCACGTCGTTTTCACAAAAAAAAAAAAAAAAAAAAAAAAAACAGAGAGAGAGAGAGATTGAGGGACAAAGTTAACATATAGGAATTGGTCTTTCTATGTATGCATTTTAAAAAATAAACAAAGAATAAAAGCAAGAGGAATACACATGCAGTGGAATTTTTAATCCTGTAAGACATGTATGTGTACGATAAATACATACAACTGGTGTAAACTTAGAGGAACTTTTTATATTACGGGCATTGTTTAGAAAATACCAGCTACATAGTTGTTGGTACCACCACCATACCGTTGAACTGTCTGTCCGAGTAGGACACTAAACTGCTGATTCTTGTTCGAAAGATACACCAAACTTTTATTACACGTATCTTCACTGTTAACATCTAGATATTGCCATACAACTGGTCGAATGCATATGCATTTGTTAATTAGCTGGCTAATTAAAAACACAGATCATGAAAAAGATCGTGATCAAAGTACCATTTCCTCTGAAAAAGTTCATTAATTTCAACTTCGAATATTCCTAACTACGTAAAATTTGAAATTCCCATCTCTCTCTTGTAGAGTTTACCCACAAAATTTTTAAACATCTAAATACATATGATAAGCAAAATATATGAGAATGTGTCCACCAAGTATTTGGTATCCATGATTTTTTGCTAATAGAAACTCCACATATAGTATTGTGTTTATGTTTATTGTTTGTTTTTTTAAATCTACTTTGCTCAATACAAATACTAGCATATGGAACAAATCTCCGTGATTTTAAAAGCTTTCACGTACAAAAAAGGCAAGCGACAATGTTAAGTCTTCATTCGACTCGAAGTGAAACAAATAGTTGACCAAAAAACCACAACAAAAATGTCCAAGTTATATTTTGGTTGTGATTGTTTTGAAACGCTATATATGCGGAGCTTCCAGGGTGCTTTTCCCCCCTGGCCCCCTACCAGGGCTTTGCCCTGGACCTACTGGAGGGTCTTAGGCGGCCCCCAGACCCCTCACCCTTTAGTTTGTGATTCCACTTCATTAAGAAGGTAGCTACGCCCCTGTACATGTACATGTATGTGTGCACTTGCATAAAGTTGATTTTTATCTGATGCAGATCACATATTCCATATAATTTGATTCTATTACTTGTAAACTAAACTCACTCATCAACAAAGAGCACAGAGAAGCCCCAAAATCTCACATCTATCAAGTCTTCTAAAAACTGAAATATAAATCACACACATGTTAAATATCTACAATTTACTTACTTGCCTGAAATATTTCATTAAATAAAAATTACTACATTCCCAGATCACATGCACTTGAAAAATGGAAATACCAGTCTTTAAAACTATTTTTTTTAAAATTCTTTTAGTCTTTGGGTAAAACAAGTATCCAGTCTCATTGGTATTTATAATAAATTGTCTTTTCATTTTGTACAGAATGCATAAATGATAATGCCAGATGGACCCGTACGTTTTGTAGAATTTACGTATATTCAAACATTTCTCGATAATTTGGTTGATAGACCATTAATATTTTGTATGCAATTTTAAATCAATGGTCTCTTAGTCTATTTCTATGACGAAAAATCAATGAGAACTATGTATATTTTTACTTCTACATAATATTGGAACTGGTTCAGGGTTATTTGTTTTCTCCCTTTTTGAAACAATTGCAGAAAAGAAATGGAACAATGCACTATCAAACTTTTTTTGCAAGGGACATAATTCATTAGTGCAAGACATAAAAATTTAGTAACTAGGAAAAAAAATCTGTTAGTATTTTGAAAATAAGCTTTATAATACTGTTTTCAGTAAATACCTCATTTAAACAAACCTTTAAAATTCAATCTAATACCATCACATACTATCCACAAAAAATATTTATTTACAAAATCCTAAAATGTACAAACATAAAATGACATATAATAGAAACATTTGAATATATGAAGACTCAGAAATGTTCATGTATCTCAAAAAATATTTTACTTTCATCTCTCTGTCAATCTAGTATTTTCACACAAAACCTACCTGTTGATCTGCCTTTGGTATTTCCAAGGAATCAACTATAATCAGCTTGTTCTGAGCATACTTAGCAGATAATGCACAACACAGTCCATGGACTCTTTTTACCTTTGGTAACATATAGAAAAAAGATTTTGGACCACGAGGACCAAGTGCTTTTCCACCTAAAATTGAATTATTCTGTTAGTCATATTATGTTGCTTTTTTCATGGTTCCTGTATCATTACTTAGTGAAATTTTAAGGCAGCTTACTTTCATCAAAAAAGTTTGAAATTGAAATGATTTTAAAGACTTAAAAACGGTTAATTTCTAAGTAAACGCTAATGCTACTTTTGATTTTGAAGATGAAATAAAAACGGGAAGTTTCAAGTCAAATCTAATTTAAGAGTGATTCAGGATCCCCGCCACCGGTAAATTATCTTCCGCCATCATCAAATGATTCCCATTGTCAAAATTTGTTTTCTTTTTCGCCAGCTGCCGCCATTTTTGTTAGCAATTACAATCAATTGCATGTAATTGCATAACCCTTAGGCTTATTGTATTATAATTCAAAGGGTCCTGGATTAAAATTTTGAAGCCCTGAGGGATATTCAGCTCAAGATCGCTAATCCCTTGTACAGGTAAATCGACACCTGACAGGAGATCACTTTATCATGATAGACGATTGATTGCATTATTAATCTAATTACGTCTCAGCAAATGCTAATGAAAATTTAGATTAAAAAATAAATTTTAAATCCAGTTACAAAGAAAAAAGTTTAACAAGTTTCATATTGACTTACGCAATCAGCATCCCCCTTTTTAAACAGGTACAAAATAAGACGTAAAACAGAACAAAATTTCATGCCAAATAACAAGGGTACAGCAATTATCGATAATATTGAATCACTTTACAAGTTTAAAGTAAATACATGAATACTAACTGCAACTTGATTAATCTGAAATAATTTTGTATCATAATTCCAAATTCATTTCGTAGTTTACAATGAAATTGATACATTCGGTTTACATTCAGAATCGAAAGATGCATGTTGCATAGTATATATATTACTATGAAATTTGCAATTTAAAGTCATTAAAACCTTTTAAGTTGTAACAGTTTGCCCTCCAAATCTTTCTTCAACGTTTTAAAAATGGGACGAAACTTCTTGTTGTTGATGCTGCAAATCGTCGATACCGGTTCATGACTTCTGAATAATTTGACAGTGCCCTAAACAATTACAAAAATAGCAAGAAAACAACTCTGGAACCTTAAGGACAGCTTGTGGTCAGTATTCAATAAGAGGGAGCCATGCAGGCTTGGCATTGGAATTGTTACAAATGACAATTAATGAAAATATTGGTTATTTATAATGAAATAAATATAATAAGAAGTCTGTTCATCATTCCTTACATCGAAATGGAGGAATGAAATACTATCAATCATGCCACGCTGTTGACGCAGGGTTTTGTCATGGTGAAAGTTCCTCCATCGTTAAATTTTCATCTGGTAAAGACAATTTCATGCATGCGTATTACATAGTCTAGTATAAGTAAAGCACACATTTGACTTGTGAAAATTACCTATTTCTACATAATTTTGGATCAGAATTGGCAATTGTCTTTGCTTTAAAGTTATTAGATAATGAAGTGATAATATTTTGTCAAGGAATAGAATTTCTTTATAATATTTAATAGTTCTGTAAGGGAGCTACCATTTGATTTTTATGGGGGGGGGGGGGGGGGGGGGGCTAGGATGAAAAATTTTGTCCTGCTTTTTTTTTTAGTTGTAATCTCTGTCCTGCCTTTTTATTTTTCACTCTATTCGGTCCTGCCTTTTTTTTTAAAGTTTATCCTGACTTTTTTTACCTAAATTGTCATCCTGACTTTTTTTTTTTGCAAGTGTCTCATCCTGCCTTTTTTTTACTCAAAACTCCTGTCCTGCCTTTTTTTTTCAAATTTCATCCTAGCCCCCCCATAAAAATTAAATGGTAGCTCCCTAAGGTGTGAAGAACTCAGGTAAAAAGTGATTAGCAATCATTAGCCAATATCTCCTGGAGCCAATAATATGGTTATTAGGATAGCTCTCAGGATTATCATACGATACTGTAGTGGCAGCCTTTATTACAGGAAAAACATTTCAAAACAAAAATAAGTGCAATATGGCGATTAAGAAACTCAATCTCAATGAAATGACAGAAATTATTTCTATAAAAAAAGTTGAATAAAAATTTTGGACCCCAATCTACCATTTTGGTCAATGACCTTTCAGTTTAGGTCATGTCTGGCAAATGTGATCGTTTCCAGACCCTTGAATACAATGATTGTTATTCTTACAATAGAATGCATATTGAATGTGGTGCTATAATATTTGGGAAACCGTGCTTTTCACATCCCATGGTGCTGTTGGTTATAAAAAGGTTGACATCACCAATTAAGCACCTATTTTTTGCCTTCTGCTAAATGTACATGCAAAAAAATCTTATTAAGAAAAATATTAGATTTATATATACAAATGTATTCAAAGATATGACTGTCTGATTTTATGCGTTTTGAGAAAATTGAAAATAGCTAACTTACCTCTAAAATATATTGGTGACCGTATACTACCCTGCCTTGCTCTACCAGTCTTCTTCTGTGGATGTGGCTTTTTACCACCACCAGGCATTTCTGCTCTGCTTCTTGCAAATGAATAATCCTTAAGAGAAATGGAAACAAGGTATCTATTCAGATGAGTATTTTTAAGATATTAATAACTTCTTTATCCTTTGAAATATTTGTATGGTTTGAATAATGTGAAGAAAATGTACATGTTAATTTTCCACTCCCGAAGTCAGAAACTTCATTACAGGTTGTTGTCATTTTTTTTTTTTCATTGAGGTTGATCGCAGAACTTTTGGTTTCTGTTGACGTCATTAGCAACTAGTCTTAACTGTGTTTTGATATTGGCAGTTGTCTATCAAAGTTATTGAAGACTAACCCCTACCCCTTAAAAAAAAAAGATAAAAAGCCAAATGTAATATGATCTATTATTTTTATTGTTGTAAATTAATGTTCTTTTTAAGTTGAAAAAAATTGTTAACCAAAGAGACTTGGATGCTGGCCTGCTTTAGAATGTAATAAGGTGAAATTAAAAAAATCTAGAATTTAAAATTGATACTTTAAGTCACAAGAGCATGAGTTAAGGAACAAAATAAGCTAAAAATATTGATAGTTTATGGAACTCCTTTTTGAGATATTTAATTTTTTTAAAATGGCAGGAAAAGGCTGACTTGGACACTTACCTTATATTTAGCATTGGAAAAAACACAAGGAGTCTGAACATTTGACAAAATCTGACCTAAGTACATCCTTGAGGCAATTAATTAACCTGTGGAAGGTGATGGTCATTACTATATTCACAAGCACATTTGCTAAATGACATAACAATCATTGGGTAGTCATAGTCATGTCTAACAAGTAACATGCTGAAAAATTGTTTTTATTTTAAACACTGTAGATTTAAGCCTATTGCTGAATGCCTAAATCAATTAAGGTATGATAGCTAAAAAACTATTGTTGTCTTAACCTTGAAAAAAATTTATGACCAAATTCGGTGCCATTAAATTCAGTGGTTCTAAATAAAGAGAATGTTTTACCATATACTTCATGCAGGCTTCATTATGAAAATAAGTCTCTGATGGTATTTATATCTGCATCAAAGTATCAGTAATTTAGAATCGAGCAAACCCTCTTCAATTCTTTGGTTTAATCCCCTGTTGTGTACATTTTCCCAAAACAAAGGCCCACTCTCAAACAAAACAAACAGGGGAAAAAGGATAGCCATATTTGTTGGTCCTATGGTATTTAAGTGACAACACTGTGTAGAATTTGCAGTGTTCATCACAACAAAATTACAGACTCAAATTCAAATTATTCAATTTCCTCCAAATGATACACATTAATCTACAAATATTTATATACATGTATCTTTAAATGAAAATGCTGATAAATGCTTTTCAATGACCTCAAACTGATAAATTTTGTAATGTCATGGCTCCTGAAGTACCTGGTTTTTTTTCTTCATAAATATGATATAGACATACATGGAAATTTTATGAAGTTAACATTACATATTTCAGAGAATTTTTTTTTCAAATAATGTCCTTATCATACACTGTCCTGTTGTTACCGGTACTTCCATAACTTGTCAGAAGGAGACCCAAACATACAAATTTGGGAAGAGACATGTGGCCAGAGTTAAAAAAAAAATTTGTAAGGGTTCCATGAAACCCAGTGTCTCGCCTCCTTTTGCTGTTAGCCGCAGCTCAACAAAAAAGGGGAAAAAATTATTAAAAAATTTCCTCTAGGTACTATCTTTTCATTGTAAGAAGCTTCTATCCAAGTTTGGTAAAAATCCAGGATGGTTTATGAATCTAATAATTGTTTTAAAAACTTTAACTGCACACTGTATGTAATGTTAACTGGAAGAAAAACTAAGTCCATTCATAAGTAATATACGGAAAAACAGGAAATAAATTTTTACAAAATTTCCTTCTAGATACTAGCTTTTGATCATAAACAAGCTTCTGTCCAAGTTTGGTAAAAATCCAGCATAGTTTAAGAAAGTTATTAAAATTTTTAAAAATTTAACCACAGAGTGAATGTAATGTTAACTGGCAGAAAGTCCATTTATAAGTAAAATACGGATAAACAGGATTTTTTTTTAACAAATTTACTTCTGGATACTATCTTATGATCATAAACAAGCTTCTGTCCAAGTTTGGTAGAAATCCAGGATAGTTTACAAAAGTTATTAAAATTTCAAAAACTTTAACCACAGAGCAGGGCTTCCAAAATTTCCTGACGACAGCCGGACATTTTTCAAAGAAATATTTTTAACGGTCAATGATCAGCTGGATACTTAAATGTAACTGAGAGGATGCATAAATTGATATATGTCTAAATAATTAGTAGTGTTATATGCAATAAAATTATTTATATCTGTTTTGTTTTCTTCATTCTAAAAATAAATAAAATATTATCCTCCGTATTGTGTCATTTTTCTGTGTATCGTAATACAGTAACCATCATTGCATCAATCAGCTTCAGTACCTGACTGTTCTCATGTTTTTGTTTCTGTTTATATAATCTATCTTCTCTCTGTGAGTACTTAACACTTTTTATATTAAGGCCATCTTATTTGAAACTGTTGATGTTGGCTTTAATTGCAGTACAACTTGATCATCAATACACGTGATACTTTTCTTTTTGTGTATTGATTACCTGACCACGTGACTTTTACAACTGATGCGGTATTTATAGATAACATTGAGGAGGCCCAATGAAGGATATTGTTTTAAACCGTGTAAAATCTACTGAACAGTGATAACATTTTTCTTTGTACAATTTCCCAACCTGATTTAGAAAATAAGGAATAAATAAAAACATACTCAGTTGATAAATAATTTAATGAATAACAACATGATATTTTATGTAAGCATATAACAACAATAAAATATCAGAAGAGCACAATGTTGACAAACACACGCAATAAATATTACAATGAGCACATTGAAAAGAAGCACAGATCACAGCACAAGATTAGAGTGACGGTTACGAACGGATTGCCATTTGCGGATAGCAGGAACAGGGTCAAAGTCTTTAACATCTACACCTACTAAGCTTATCCTCATAAGTTGATCTAAAGCGTCAATACCTAGACTACACCTTAGTCGATCATAATTCCCACGGCGGGACTTAACTTTACGTCGGACATCGCCTCTTTCTCTATAACATCGGAAATTGTCTGAATAAATTCGGAGCAGGCATTGTTCTCTTGATATAATTTAGAAGTGATCACGGCACCATTTAACTTTAGCAATAAAGTAAGCATTACGGAACAAGGTGCACATTGCGTTGTCAGTCTTTTCATGAACTTTCTCAAATACTGATACAATTGGATTACTTTTGGAAGCTGTCTCTAATTTAAGAGCTTGAATGTGGTCATTGCTATTAGCATGCTCTACAACGGCTGACTTTCGAAAATTTGTCGAACCAGGCTTTACAAAGTTATTTTTAAGTCTATGTTTTTGACAAATGTCACAAAACATGGCATTTAGCATACTATCGATCTTAACCATAAAAACAGTTGTAACCATTTATGAATAAAGCTTCTAGCATTTTTAGCAGACTTCGAATTTTGATCGGAATCGTCACGTTTACGTTTGCCCATGATGGCAGATTTGTAAAGTTCAATTTGAGACAAAGTCTTTATAACAGTCGGAGATTGTCATGATTGGATATTAATCTTTATAATTTTAATTATAAAAACAGTTTTTAATATGAAAACAAGAATAAAGAACGCCCCCTTATTTATTGGACAACTCAGCTTGGTATACCCAAGCGAAGCTATTCTCGGTGTTTTTCCTATATATTTTAGTAAATTTTCCCCTTGAGAGTACCCCAGTATTTAACACGATGTACAGTGCTTAAATAAAATAATATATATCATACTTAATCATTTATAAATATCCTTATTTGAAGAATAACTTTTAAATATCAGGATACTTTTAAACTGAATGCTCATTTAAAATAATATCTATAAAGCGTAATTAAATAGGATGTTGTTCCGTACACGCTTACATGTTTGACCTCGTTTACCTGATTACCTTTATGTACATTGTAATGCATCATTAATTCTATTGATAAAGACAAGCTAAGGACACCTCATCAAAGGTAACAAACCTGTAATCAGTGAATGATTTATGGCTTCAATATAACTTATTGAAGGGATAATTGTTTGACAGCTTGTTGTTATTTAAATAAAAGAAAACGTGTTTTTTCTACTTTTTATTGATGTACACAAGCTAAAGACCAAGCCGTACATTTATGTACCCAGAGGATTAGACTAACTGAGACACTTCAAAGTATCTGAAATATGCTGCTTCTGTTTTATTAAACCCAATTATGACCGAAATATCTTTGTGAAATAGATTGCCACAATTATAAACTAAAATGCCCAAACGGACATGTCCAAAGATTGAAATGACCGTTTCATGAAAATGCCTTGAATAACAAAATGTGGCACACCAATTCTATTTGACCGTTTGAGGCTGAGAGCAGCCGGTCTTTTTATGAAAGTTTCGGTCAAGTCCGGAATATATGACCGTTTTGGAAGCCCTGCCACAGAGTGAATATTTGTGAACGCTGCCGACAAGGGAATGTAGGATCGCTATGGCTTGCTTTTGTGACAAAAGTCTCAGGCTCGATAAAAAAACACTCCATATATATATAGTGATGTTTTTTATGTATGACCCTCACAATATCTTCCTATTTATGTACAATGTATTTGACATACCAAAAGAGTTACCAATACCAGCTGAATGTCATTTATACCTTCATATAGGATTTGACCCCTAATTTTTTCAGTGTCTGACATTAACAATAATCTGTTTGTTATGTACATACCTATTACTAGACTAGACTAAACTTACTATAAATCTATACTTTCTTTGCCAGTCTACATTGTTATGAAGTATATCAATTCTGTAAATACATACAAGGGTATATCGTGTTTGACTTCATGAGTAACTTAAGTTTACCTTGAAAACTGAACTGAATCAGATGAACATAATAATTTAATAATGTATTGTGTATGACTTTATATCAAAGTTTAATTTACTGTGGAAGTTACAAAATACTTTCTTTAAGCATACAAATTTTTATGCACCTGTCCTAAGTCAGAAGCCTGTTGTTCAGTGGTTGTCGTTTGTTGGTGTGGTTCATAGGTGTTTCTCGTTTCTAGTTTTTTATATAGATTAGACCATTGGTTTTCCTGTTTGAATTGTTTTACACTAGTCATTTTGTAGCCCATTATAGCTTGCTGTACAGGTGTGAGTCAAGGCTCCAAGCTGAAGGCCGTACTTTACCCTATAATTGTTAACCATGTTAACTTTTTATACATTGTGACTAGGATGGAAAGTTGTCTCATTGGCACTCATACCACATCTTCTTATTTATATATATATTCAGGAGATAACTTACTTTTACCTCCCTCCCCATGTCACTTCTTTAAATGATTATTTTTGTACATTAACAAAGTGATTAGTATTATATATGTATGTAAAAAATAATCCCTGATCTTGTAAAGAAATTTGGATACACTGAAAATATAGGTATAATGCCTGGTTAATGATAAAACTGTGGGATGTTGGCAAATTCTTCTTTATAACGAAAAAAATGTAGCACATTTGAAACTTGAAGTCTAGTTTCTTATCATGAAATTTTTTTACAGATTTCTCTTAAATACCTTTCAGAAACTAAATATTACTGTTTTGGAATATCTAGTTTCAGTTTAAAATCACTTTTGACTTACTAAGGCAAAAGCATTATGTATAGCTTTGGAAAATCTTTTTAACATGGATACCTTGGATAGGTGCCAAATATTTTTGGATGTAGATCTACAATGCCTAACTTTTCTTCTTCCAGTGTTGCCATTGTATCTAACCAGGCTTGTTTGGACGGAAGATGCTCAGATGGATATTCTAGTTGTCTAGATGTAACAATTGGCAATGGTGGTCTATCTGGTACATAAAGATGTGGATCTATCATAAAAACTGTATACATAGAATTATTGTGTAGCAAACATAAAGTTGATATAATTGGGATTTTTTGGTTTCCCTCGATGAATAACTTTTAAAGATGAAGACTACAAAAAACTGACAACAAGATGCAGGGAATAAGATTAACAAGGGGCCCAGTAGCCAATGCTACTGGAAAATTGGCTGGGCCCCTAACTTTTTAAAAGAATATTCCCATATGGTCAATCCAAAATTTTCACATTTTGTCAGTGGAGTGAAATTTTAAAGCTTATTCCCTGAGATGTCATTTAAAAGTCAAAAATGACATAAGGCTTATAATTTAGTACACCAGACATGTTTAAAAGCTATTGTAAAATACACATATCTATCAAACAGACATATAACCTGATGCTGTTTCTAATTCTCCTGTAACATCTGTTTTGTCTTCTGCCTTTAAAATTCTTGTTGTTGTCACATTCTGTAAAAAAAAAGCTAAAATTATCAGTAGTTTGAATCTTGTGCTGCATACAGGCTACGTGTAGTCATTTTTATATGTTCATCTAATTTCTAGAACTGCGGTAAACATTGATCTTTTACTATCTACTACTTTAGTCTACTATTCTACATAATGATATGCTCCTTCAAAATTTCAATCAATGCCCATTTGCAAACTATTATTATTGTCATGAAGAAGCATAGAAAATAAAATATGAAAATATTGTTCAAAATCATGAAAAACAACTGAAGGAGTGAAATATCACTGGTGTTTATTTGATTTTAGAATAGTGTTTTATGCATGTTTAGAAAATTTTCTTTTCCTATGGTGAAGCTCAGTGTTCATACTCCCTATACCTGGATGTGACCATTTGCAAATTCAATAAGTTAGCAGAATTTTAAAGAGGCACTAGCTATCAGATATATAAAAAATCTGAAATAGGATTTTTTTTGTTCAATCATTAATGAAAGTGAAATAGTGAAATAATTATTCGCTTTTAGCAGCCAGTATGGTTCAATTTTGTCAAAATAAGCTAAGAAACATTGATGACGAATTATTCACTTGCAAGTGAATAATTTGACCTCATTGAATCCGTATTCATGTGAACTTCAATTTAACCCCATAGCTAGAGGTGGATAATGCATGAATTGTTCGTGTAAAGTTATTTAAAGGAAAAGAATGTCAACATTGAAAATTAAACAAAAGTAAATCATTTGATTGACTGATTCGATCCACAAAAATCATTCTTATACAGGTAAAAACAATGATAAACATATATTTTTAATCTTTAATACGAAATTAAAAAGACATAGAAAAATCCCATTGCACGAGTTCGCTTAATCTATTTATATCTATATTTATGTTCACATCGCTTATATGGTCATCGGACGACTTCGGAGGTCAACTCGATAATTAATTAGATGGTGTCTAGACTAAAATACACACGAAACGAAGCTACATATTATCGAGCCCATGCCCTGTAAATTGTTTATTTTAGACTTTTAATAGTTTGGATAAATGTTTTACATTGTTATAAATCAAATATGAGAATTTGAGTCAAATCGGTGAACATGAATTTGACAGCTAGTGCCCTTTAAAATTCATTTTCAATTAAAAAGATTGTGTCTATGACAAACGGTTTTCAATTTATAATCATTTGAAAATTTTTAAAAATAAAATCCCATAGGGTTCTATAGTAAAACCCTCCTTTCTTTTTGCCCCTCAAAGTACCCCTTTATAAACCCCATTGCACAAACAAAACCCTGATTGCACCACTAGACATGTTAGTCTAACATATTGTGAAATCCTAAGTTAGTCTGACAAGCGGTTTTGGAGAACGGGTGCGGACAAGTTCAAATTTAAAAGCGGCGGAAGAGGAAGAAGAAGAAGAAGAAGAAGAAGAAGAAGAAGAAGAATAATAATAATAATAAAAACTGAGCAAAAACAATAAGTCTTCCCAAACTTCGTTTGGGAGACTTAATTACCAATTCAGGGGCAGCAACCCAACAAAAGATCGTCTGATTCATCTGAAAATTTCAGGGCAGATAGAAATTGACCTGATAAACAATTTTACCCCCATGTCAGATTTGCTCTAAATGCTTTGGTTTCAGAGATATAAGCCAAAATCTACATTTTACCCCTATGTTCTATTTTTAGCCATGGCGGCCATCTTGGTTGGTTGGCCTGGTCACGGGACACATTTTTTAAACTAGATACCCCATTGATGATTGTGGCCAAGTTTGGTTTAATTTATCCAAGTAGTTTCAGAGGAGAAGATTTTTGTAAAAGTTTACGACGACTGACGACGACGATGACGACATGGACGACGACGGATGCCGGACGCCAAGTGATGAGAAAAGCTCACTTGGCCCTTTGGGCCAGGTGAGCTAAATAATCAAACACTATGAATCAAGTGAAAACAACTGCCATATTCCTGACTTGGTACAAGCATTTTCCAAAGAAAATAGTGGTTTTAACCTGGTTTTAGAGACATAATAGGTTAATGTGACAATAATTGGGACACAACTGACTAAAAAATTCAAACAAACATGACCTATAAAATATAGTTACTCATGACCAAACAACACTGATAATTAACTCATACGCTACAGCCATTCGATAAATCAATATGTTGATCAGTGTCCATCAGTCACTCATTGAATAGTTTTCATTATTTTAATTCTTTGATTAGTTATTATTAAACGTGCAGACATACATGTAGTTAAGAACTAAACTATAGCTGTATATAGTTTTTGCAATATTTTTCTTGCATTTACCATGATTACTGTGAAAAACATATCTCACAATTTTTTTATAAAATTTGAAATATTGAACACAAAAACATTTGACTATGTTTCTTTGTATTGCATGCAAAGTTTAAGATTGCATTTTTAAACAGATATGCAAAAGTGAACTTTCATTTAAAAAATGTCAAAGTGATACTTCAAATAGCCCAATCTTCCAAACCAAGGAGTTGACAGTTCAGAATTGGATGCCTTGAAGTCTGGTGCAATATCCATTCTGTATTGTTGAAAAACCTGTATGAGTATGTTTTAATCATGTTTATCTATATAAATAAATGAAATAAATGTTTGAATGAATTTTTTGGTAAATATGTTCAAATTGCAGTGAACCCTTCCATGTATTTTCTTAAAATTTTCAACATACTGAAGTGTAAAAGAAAATGTATATCAAGCTGAAAGTATGTAAACTCAAATCGCCTTAAAATAAAAACGATGTGGTATGATTGCCATTGAGACAACTATCTAAATTTAAGCAAGTATAGGTCACTGTACCGCCTTAAACAATGAGCAAGACCCATGCCAGATAGTAAGCTAAAAAAGGGCCCATAAATGACAAAATGTAAAACAATCCCCCCCACAAAAAAAAGACTGTTTATGATGTCTCTAGTTGGATGTGTACTGATTGATACATGTACTTTAGTATGGAAAAACATGATTTATATTTTAAGTTGAAGATATTATCGATTTTTTAACCACCTTTCAGTAACTGTGAGTATTCTTTAGTCTAAGATTGTTACTTTTTGTCTTTCAGCTAATTGATTTTTATTTTAAGGTCCATAGATTTATCCAGTCACCCAAACCCCAAAACACTAAATAAAAAATCCCAATAACTTATGAATAGTTATTAGGCATATTAAAAAACAAGAGTGCACACGCTGAAATGTCTCGCCTGTTTTACTTATCATTGAATTTATGTTGAAAATCTGTAATATGAAGGTTTTACTACAAGTATCATATAAACTTAACATTGACCAATGAACCATGAAAATGAGGTTGAGGTCAGATGAAACCTGGCAGACAGACATGTACACCTGACAATCATTCCATACACCAAATATAGTGCCCTTACTGCCCTATTGCTTATAGTATCTGAGAAATAGACCAAACCACATAAAACTAAACATTGTTCAATGAACCATGAAACTGAGATCAAGACCAGATGAAATTTGTCAGTAGGACATGTACCCCTTACTATCATTCCATACACCAAATATAGTTGACCTATTGCTTACTGTGTGAGTTACAGTATCTGAGATACAGACTTGAACATCTTACTTTAACCTTGGGTCACTGATCCATGGAATAAGGGCAAGGTCAGGTGAACCCTATCTGACGGACATGACGACGTAGCAAGGAACCCATATACCAAATATAGTTATCCTATTACTCATAATAAGTGAGTATTTCACTAAACAAAAAAACTGTAATTTTTTTTTCAGCAGTCACTGAACCATGAAAATGAGGTCAAGGACAATGGACATATGACAGACGGAAACTTCGTAACATAATAATTTAGCAATTAGAAGACTAAATTAGCGACAAGAAAACCAATTTAGCTTAAAAAAATTTCAAGATATTATTTCAAATAAATAGATATAGAAACATACATTAAAGTGTGTAATTTTTTTTAAATATAAACATGTATTTTTTCATTATACTGAAAGAAGAAAATTAACATTTGTTCAAGAAAAGAGTTTTCTTTTTATTATCAATGATATATTTAACTTAAGATAATATATTTACAGTTACAGCGTATTGTTTACATGTGTAAGTCATTGAATCAAGATTTTTTTTAGAGTCAGCCATGGTCGATTTATGAAAGCAGACCTGCCAACTAACCCGATTTATGAGGGATATCCCCCATGAGAGGTGTTGACCTGAATTTTGAAATTCTTTATTTTATAAACTGAACACCTCAAAACAGGCATTCAAATGAGTTTTAAGTGAATTTAAGCACATACATACTCATTTAAACAATATAGTAGTAGATTAAAAACACTTATGACAATAAAAGAGGAGCATAAGTTCCTCTTGCACTAAAAATTTGTAAGGGTTCTGCAGAATCCAGTGACTCGCCTACTTCTGCTGTTAGTCGCAGGCTCAACAAAAATGGGGAAAAAATTATCAAAAATTTTCCTCTAGATACTATCTTTTGATTGTAAGAAGCTTCTGTCCAAGTTTGGTACAAATCCAGGATAGTTTAAGAAAGTTATTAAAATTTTTAAAACTTTAACCACAGAGTGTATGTAATGTTTATTGGCAGAAAAACTAAGTCCATTTATAAGTAAAATACGGATAAACAGGATTTTTTTTTTTACAAAATTTACTTCTGGATACTATCTTATGATCATAAACAAACTTCTGTCCAAGTTTGGTAGAAATCCAGGATAGTTTACGAAGGTTATTAAAATTTCAAAAACTTTAACCACAGAGTGAATATTTGAGGGCGCCGCCGCCGACGATGATTAAATGATTAAAAAAAATAAACTACAGAAAAATATCAAGTCAAAATCTTCAAGCATGACGAAAAAAACTGTTGAAAACTGATTATTTAAGTGAATTTTTTATGTCCAAAGACCATAACTCTGCACAAAATTATCAGACTGGAACAAAATTCCATCTTGATCTGTAACTTGTCATGATAAAACTATATACCCGGTACTAATTATCAAATCAATATCTTCAAGAATGACAAACAAACCTACCATTAAATTCTTCAAACAATTTACCAAAGAAAAGGAAACAATTCCAAAATGTCATTTTGTCTTTTACAAGTCTTTTAAAAAATGAGTTATTTCCCTTTGAACAGAAATCTACTAATTAATAAGTATCTCATCAAAAATTTTATTCTAGGGAAAGGGCTTTAACTGAACAAAGAGAAAAGCTAAAATCGTGAAAATTGAACTTGACCTGTAACTTGTCATGATAAATCAATAAACCAAATACCAAATAAATATCTTCAAGCATGAAGAAAAAAAGTCTGGAAAACTTATCTGCTGGACTGACAGATGGACAGACAGACAGACGGAGTGCAAACCTAAAGTCCCCTTCGACTTCGTCGGTAGGGGACTAATTAAGTATCGTATATAATACATGTACATGTATATACATGTACTAAAAACAAGTCTAAATTGAAAACAACGTTCAAACCTATGATTGCGTTGGATAAAAACCACAATTTTTATACGTGTGCATGTAAAACAAATTTCTTGGTAGAGGGGTCTAAATACAGCACAAACAACATTTTCCAAAAGACCAAAAAAGTGAAAAATATATTTTAACAAATCGCATTTGACTAACAGGTTGAACAACTGATGTTCTTAAACCCTGCTGACTGCCATTGACGATTGCCAAATAAATTGATCACGAGATGTAACATGGATCTTAATTATTAATTTAATACCAAACAGAAAACAATAAAATTGCGGAGAAGATGGTATACCGCAAGCATGAGATGCAAAAATTTGTACACCATATCTGGATTTCGACAATTAATGTCTCTTCAGTGATGTTAGGGATCGAAACGGTATTCGGAAGGCCATATAATTTACCTCAATTTAGGATAGACTCTTGAATTTTAAAGAGTCAAAATAAGATGAACGGATCATATAAACCCGAAGGAAAATATAATACAAGCCCAAACGAAAAAATATAAACAAGTCTAAATTGAAAACAACGTTCAAACCTATGATTGCGTTGGATAAAAACCGCTATTTTTATACCTGTGCATGTAAAACAAATGTACTATATACGATATTTATTTTATTTTTTTTAATCATTTATGGACATTTCATGGATAGAAATTCAAGTGACTGTGATCTAACACGACTAATGTAATAACATTTTTTGTTACTATAAATTCATTAAAAGACTAGTGCTACTAAATATAACTTTATAAAACAACAAATAATAAACTGTAAGTAATTAACTTTTTATATAACTTTATGTTTTAATAGTATATAAACTTTCTTGTCGCTAGATGTGTCTTCTTGTTGCTAATAATTTCTTCTTGTCTCCAAAATTCTTGTTGTTGCTGAATAGCAAGACCGAACTGAACTTTAAATTAAAAGAAGGCCACTGTTACATGTACATATAAACATGATAACGTTGAATTTACACTTGTATAAAAAGTAAGTCATCTTTATTTAAAGTTTGGTTTTCATATATACAATCAACATAGTTGAATTTACACTAGTGTAATGGAAGTATCTTTTGTGGCAAACACTTATCTTTGTGACTCATGCTCCGATCACCAGAAGTAATCTGACGGGAGTACAATGTAAAGTAACTGGACATTAAATAAATGAGGGGAGTTGTACGTGGGGTTTGAATGTCGACCACTACTATACACTTGTATGCAATCAGATGGTATTGGGTTTCATTAGTACCCTACATATTCGCCCCTGGGTCCATCCGCACCCTACACAATCACACCTTTTTTTAGTCCCCTACCGATGAAGTCGAAGGGGACTTTAGGTTTGCACACTGTCCGTCTGTCCATCTGTCATTCCGGCAAATCAGCTTTCCACACTTTTTTTCTTCATTCTTAAAGATATTGATTTGATATTTGGTATATAGTTTTATCATGACAAGTTATAGATCAAGTTCGAATTTTGTTCCGGTCTGATGATGAAGTCCAGAGTTATGGACCATAACTCTGGACCATATCTAATGTTAGAGTACTATGCTAAACCATATTTCTGTACAAAGGGAGATAACTCATTTTTTAAAAGACATTCTTTGTTAAATTATTTGAAGAATTTTTTGGCAGATTTGTTTGTTATTTAGTATAAACTGATATTCTGAATGCTATATATATATATATAAAAAAGTTATAATGAAGAGAAATCTTTTAATTAGATAATAATCTATTTTTATTAATGTATATACATGTATTTCAATACATTACACTGTGTAGATAAAAGTTGTTGACATTTTATAGATAAGTTACAAATCTAAGTTTGTGACAAATGAAAGAAAAAAATATTTGGAACTATTAATTATATTTGATTATAATTTGAAAATATACACTGTATTACATCATATCTAATTTTAGAGAACTATTAATCATATCTAATGTCTTTTTTAACTCATATAATCAGTTTTCCACACTGTTTTTAGTCATGCTTGAAGATATTGACATGATATTTACTTTTTGTTTACACCATGACAAGTTATAGAACAAGTTAGCATTTTGTTCCAGTAAAATGAATTTTTACCTGGTAGGGGACTATGTATTGCCATGCAATACTCTCAGAATGCTTGTTTTATTCAAAAACCTGATGAATTATTAGATGTTTATATCAAAATGCTTTTACTTTCATAAATTAAAATTTGGGAAAAATATTGTTTTAAATTGATTTGAAGGTTAACATGATTAATTATCATTTGTTAATTAAGTATGATTACTGTTAAATTGTTAATACATGAATGGTGTTTACACAGCTAAACTTGGTGTTATTGTTATGTGTTTGAAAATCGTGATTGTTTTTTTAACTAGCTTTGATGTAAATTCTACTTGTTGTTAGCATGTATTTAGCTTGGTATGACTAAAACAATGAAGATTCAAAATGTTATTGTTGTTGAGTTTAATAATAATAGCGGTTTGGTATCTTAAGACTTAACATTAAAGGGGTGTGTGGGAGGGGGGTGGAGGGGACCCAAAACTGCACAGTGCCAGGAGTTGGGACTATTAAAAAGTATATGCATCAAACATAAAAGTAGCTCCATACTGACAATAACTTGTCATTAGGGGGGTCTCGGGGCCCCTACGGCCCTAGCCCCAACCCCCCTTTTCTTCTAAATCCGCCTCTGAGAATCTACATTATGGACTTGCGTTATGTAAAGTAAAAGATATCTTTATCTTACACGTGCTGCAACAAATGTAAACAAATTCTTCAAATTTTGGCTATTTAGTCTACAAAATATATGTTTTGGACAAAACATTTTTCGTCCAATGTGATTTTTCTCCTGGTACCAATGTTACGGTAATAGTAATGTTGAGCAGGACAAAAAATAAATTCTCTGGTACAGAACCAGTTAGATTTTACTGGTTAAAAAATATCTTTTTAATTTCGCTAGAAAATTTTCTTGGGGTACCAGAAAACAGGGGAGATAATTTTACACAGATTGTGAAATTCAACAAACAATGTTTTTTCATGTAAGACGCGTAATTATACACAAATATCACAAACCCTCCTTTTGCTTGTTTAAGTATAAAATATCCGTTTTGTTTTCATGCTTTTTACTTCAATAAGGGTTGTAAACTATTTATTATGAGGCAGGTGATACCTGTGTCTGTGAACATGGTGAAAGAGGACGAAGTAAAATTATTTGGACAGGTTGGGGTAAATCCTCATAAATGGGTACCAGTGTATATAAAGTGCGAATCCAGTTAGTTCATTTTCACTGTTGTATGCGAGTATGTCTATCGTAGAATAAAGGATGATGGGAAAAAACTGCGTTTGTTTACTTTTTGAAAATTAAGAAATAATTCATGGAAGCCATAGATTTGTTGGAAATTTACACATGGCCTGGGCCGTGATATTCGAATTTTATCCTGAGCATTAGCGAGGGATAATATTAACAAATATCACGGCCCAGGCCATGTGTAAATTTCCAACAAATCTATGGCTTCCATGAATTATTTCGATTCTAATAGGACAAATACGGTCATTAAAAACTGAAGCGGGGGTGGGTTCGCCGTGTGTGTGGTTGTTCCTTTTTACTCCCTGTTAGATAAAGCTATAACATTCTAATAAATCTGTAGCTTGCATGAATTATTTCGTAAATAACCGCCAGAAAAAATGTGTTTAGTTCTTTTAATTATCAAATCCTACATTTGCCATTTTTTATTAACTTGTTTTTCTCGTAAGCTACCGTCAAATCCTAAGATGACATTTCGTAACTAAGGAGCCGCCATGTTGACTTAATGAAATTCGTTAATATGCAAATAATGCAATAGGATAGAAAAAACAAACCCTACCTCAAAAATCCATTTTTATGCAATTTTATACGAACTTCGATGGTTCACGTAACAGAAAACCTTCAGCTTTAGCGATTTCATTTGTATGACGTCATGTTTTGAAATGACTTAAATGCGCCAAAAGCATTAATGGACTTTCGCGGAATTTTATTTTATTTTTGTTTTATAGATTTCTCTGAGCTCTAGTGCATTAATTCTTTTTGTTATGCATCCGAATAAGAATAGAAGTTCTGTAGTCTTTTTTCTATTGCAATTTTTAAATCAATAAAATCAGAATAGCGTTTGCAAATAGGTTCCGATACATGTGGATTTACGTAGGAGGTATTTTGTAACATCCATTATTATGTATATCTCTGAGTCTGTGCTAAGTATAGATATATCGAGTATTTTATCACGGTGTTGTTTACAAAGCGAAAGCAGCACGTCATATTAGAATACAAAGTAATAGATTTGAATGTATGTTTTAACAGAATTTCATTAGAATATAACTTTTTAATGTATAATAACAGGATTAAAGTAAAAAAAAGTGTTATTTAAGCAGCAGAATCCTTAATATTGATTACTGAATGCGATTCATTTTAACTATAGATGCGATGAATTATCACTGTAAGTGCAATCATTTCTGATGTGGAATTTATGGAAGTGCGATGAATTTTCATTGTCGTTTTATATGATTATTCGACATACAACAACTGAAAATAGTTTTTAAATGACTTCAATATTGATGATATTTACAATTTGAAATACAAGCTAGTCGTAGATGCTTACTTGAATATACACGGGTAGAACCATGTTCATATCATGAATATTCAAATATTGTTGGTGAGTTTGCAAATAGCTTGTCATGGATCTGAAAATTTACTGGAGCAGAACTTCCATGAATACAACGTTTTTCTACGACGAATTTTCTTTGAAAAGTTTTATAACTCGCTTAAAAAAGCTTTGAATATTTGTCACGTCGTGTCATACATATTTCTACCGTATTGATAGGCTTTTGCACAACGAACAGTACAAGAAGGTACAACGAACGGTACTAAAGAAAGAAAAGAACTACAAAGAGAATGAATCTTACAGTGTCAAAATTCTGTGGTCAGTTTTTATACGTTTACGGGACGTATTATGGTATACCTCTGTCCGTCCGTCCGTCTGTCTGTCCGTCCGTCGTCAACATGTCGGACATTAACTCAAAAATGCCAATTTGCATAAAACTTTGGTGAATTGTTTATATCTATTGACGTGAGCTCCCTTTCGTTTTTTATAAAATTTAGATTTTACGTTTCCGAGTTATGGGGTTTTATTCATTTAAAAAAAGGGGGATTTTCCAGTTTTCGGACAATAAGTCAAGAATGCTTTCACCAACTTGCAAGAAATTGTGGTGAATGTTTACATCTATTGACATGAGCTCCCTTTAGATTTTTATAAATTTTAGATTTTACGTTTCCGAGTTACAGGGTTTTATTCATAAAAAAAGGGGGGATTTTCCAGTTTTTGGACAAAAACTCATAAATGCTTTCAGCAATTCTTATGAAACTTTGGTGAATTGTTTGTATGTATTGTTGTAAGCTCCCTTTAGAATTTTATAAATTTTACATTTTACATTTCTGAGTTATGGGGGTTTTATTCATTAAACAAGAGGCTCTCAAGAGCCTGAATCGCTCACCTGTATTGTAGAGGAGATTTTTAAATGTTAGCAAACTTGATGAACAAATTGTTTATAATTGTCTTTAAAGGGCAATAACTCCTTAAGGGGTCAATTGACAATTTTGGTCATATTAACTTTTTTGTAGATCTTACTTTGCTGAACATTATTGCTGCTTACAGTTTATATATATCTATAATATTCAAAATAATAACAAAAAACTGCAAAATTTTATTAAAAACTACCAATTCTGTGGCAGCAACCAAACAATGGGTTGTTCGATTCGTCTGACAATTTCAGGGCCTTTAGATCTTGACCAATTAAACAATTTTACCCCATGTCACATTTGCTCTAAAAGATTTAGTTTTTGAGATATAAGCCAAAAACTGCATTTGACCCCTATGATCTATTTTTAGCCATGGCGGCCATGTTTGTCTATGGATACAAACTTCGGATACAATTTATAAATAAGATACCCTTAGGAACATTTAGTTAAAGTTTGAAGGTAATTGGCCGAGTAGTTTCAGAGGAAACGATTTTTAAATGTTAGCAAACTTGATGAACAAATTGTGTAAAATTGTCCTTAAAGGGCAATAACTCCTTAAGGGGTCAATTGACAATTATGGTCATATTAACTTTTTTGTAGATCTTACTTTGCTGAACATTATTGCTGCTTACAGTTTATATATATCTATAATAATATTCAAAATAATAACAAAAAACCGCAAAATTTTGTTAAAACTACCAATTCAGTGGCAGCAACCCAACAATGGGTTGTTCGATTCGTCTGAAAATTTCAGAGCTGATAGATCTTGACCAATTGAACAATTTTACCCCATGTCAGATTTGCTCTAAAAGCTTTAGTTTTTGAGATATATGCCAAAAACTGCATTTGACCCCTATGTTCTATTTTTAGCCATGGCGGCCATGTTTGTCGATGGATCAAAACTTCGGATACAATTTATAAACTAGATACCCTAAGGAACATTTAGTTAAAGTTTGAAGGTATTTGGCCCAGTAGTTTCAGAGGAGAAGATTTTTGAAATAGTTACGACGACAGACGACGACTACAGACGACGACGACAGACGATGTAATATAAATGATATACAATGCTGCCAGGAGCAGTAAACTTTATTTTCATAAACATTGAATACTTAACTGAACAGTTAGTCAATTAGTCTTTGGTGTAAATATAAGAACGGTATATCTACCAACATTGCTTCGCGATGTAGCGATTAACGTCCGGAATCAACTGTACGGCGGTTATACCCCGTGGTATAGAACCATTTAAACATGTAACAATAAACTGTTTTCAATATTTCTTTGTATTCTCACAATTGCGTATTGGCTGATTTGTAACACCGACTTATAAGAAATTCAAGCATATTTAAGGTGACTCGACTGTTGCTCGAACTTTCTTTACTGTATAAGATTTATACACAATGGCATGATAAATATCAATTATTCAGTCATCCAAGCGTCAATTGTTTGTGCAAAATGAAAACGTTTCCACTCATTCAATCGTGACATGACGATCGTTTTGTGAATGCTCTTTGTTATCTCAAATGCATCCATTAGAGCTATTTTTCTAACGCTTGTAGTTTTAAGGTTTGGTTGGTTGTTTGTATAAACGTTTGCTCAATCTTAATTACAATGCTTAGGCAACATTTACACAATCAAGGCCAACCACACCTTTTAACTACAAGCATTAGGAAATTAGCTCTAATGACGTTTAATTTATTAGTATGCGATGTAGATTTAGACTGAAACAGAAACTTTGCTTTTCCGGTGACGTTGATTGGCTTAACTGTCTAAGATATATGTATTTAATGATGACGTGTCATAGGAAAGAATAAATTTTATCCTACATATAGATCAGGACAAATTATTTGAGAAAATAGAATTGACTATATTAGCAATAAATACCATGTTTAAGGAATTTATTGATATATTACCTCAGACTTTCACTCACTAAGTATGCATATATAATCAATCCTTCTGACTTCATAAATTTTGTTAGAGAGTCGGCTGAATTAAGACTTTATATAATAAAAATTAATTATCCTTCTGTGAAAATACATAGCATATACAATAGAAATGAATCGCCCTACAGTGAAAATGAAAGTCCAGTATCATTATTCGACAGTAAACATGAATCGCATAACGAAAACAGCATAGTTGAATTTGATTCAATATCAACAAGCTGAATAACAAAACCTGTTTTAAGTTAAACAACATTAACAATTATGTTAAAAGGTACATTTTTCTGCAAATGAAACTTTACTTCTACTTTTAAATCTCTTGCACGCTCTGTTCGTGAACTATTCTTAATATTTATCTATTTGTGAATCAATTTTGCACCTGGATGGCTGTAGGCGCGATGAAAACCCGTCCGCATCTCATACCTATATCACGAATTTATAAAAAAACAGTACACATTATATATTATTTCTTATTTTATTCAAAAATCTTGAATTTGTCGTCTGTTTATTCATCATTCTACATCAGAAATTCATCACGGATACAGTAAAAATG